TGTGTTGGAACTGCAAGACCATTTCACCTCCAGCTACATCACTTCAGTAAATATAGAGCCATCCAAACTGCTTCCATGAGTCAGGAGACAGTGCAGGGAGTGGTGACAGAGCTGAACCACGTCTCACCGGGCTGCTGAAGGTGGGGAGCTCAGGGCAGTGCCTTTCTGCCTGGAGATGGGAGAGTTCTGTTCCAACAAGAAAAATCGTCGCTGGCTGCGGGAGGCGGAGAGCTGCGTGACTCAGCTCTTTCTGAACCTGATGTGTGCACTTTGCCTGTTTATTCCCAGCGCTGTCAGTGCTGAGGGCGTCATGTTACGCAGCAGGCACAGTGTTTACTAACCAGCTCAGGAGCTGATCTAAGAATAACTTTCTTCATTTGTTTTGTTGGTAGCGACGATTTCTTGTTTTATTTTTACTTTTTTGCTTCGCGCAGTCGGCAGCCTGAAGCCGGAGCTCTGCACAAAAAAGATGGAAAGGGTTTTCCCCAGCAAGCTGCTGGAATACATAAACACAAATCTGATCGCCTTTCCCTCCATGGATAGCGACATTTCAAACACAGCCGTGAGGATGAAAGCCTCAGGAGAGCCAGTTGCTGTGCCTTGGAAGTGGAGCAGCTCTGCTCCAGCTCAGGGTGCTGCACTTCAGGGATCTCAGTGCCAGCATTTAGATGCTTCTGAACCAGGATTTATGAGCGGAGCAAAACTTGTTTCCCAGGCTTCCCTTCTGTGGTAATTTATTTAGGGACTTTTTGGAGCATCTCTTCTGTTGTTCACTCGTGCTCACTGTTCCAGCCATGGTGCTTAAAAGCCACACATTTCCAGCATGACAGAATATGATTATAATTACCTTGTGTACCTATTTAAATGCTTGGCATAGGAAAAGTCCTTTTGACAGATGAATATGTGCAATACTTTTAATCAGCCTACTTGTCAGCAGGGCAGCGGATTGCTGTGATTTATTCTGATGCTTGTTTTGGTAGTATTTTAGTCTGCTATGTACTGCAGTTATCTACAAAGCACGTTTTTTGTCTCTTTTCCCATTATGCTGTTTAACACAAATACTAGCTACGGCACACCTCCATCTAGCTTGAAGCATGCAAGACAGAAGCACGTTTCACAGCTCTTACACAACAACATGTTTGTTTAGATGATGTTTGTTAATTCAGGTCCCTCTGTAGGGCTTTCCCCACCCTGGGGACATATGGACATCTCCTCCCAGCTGGGTGTCATCTGCAAACTTAGTGCGGGTGCGCTCAGTGCTCTCATCCAGCTCATCAGTGAAGGTATCAGACAGGTTGTGCCCCAGCGCCAACCCCTGGGGAACATTCTGTGACCAGCTGGATGTGACTCTGTTCACCACCACTCCCGGTGCCCTCAGCCACAGCAAGGAGTGCACCTGTCCCAGCCATGGGCTGCAGCTTCCCCAGCACAGTGCTGTGGGAGGCAGTCGGGAGCTTTGCTGAACTCTAGGTGGAGTGTAGCTTTTCCCTGTGACTCGAGATGATTACCTGCTCGCAGAGGAGATGAGGTTGGTCAGGCAGGAGCTGCCTTTCGTGAACATGTGTTGACTGGGTCTGATCCCCTGGGTGCTCCACAGCTGCCATGTGAGCTCCGTAAGGAATATCTGCTCTGTGACCTCCTGCAGTTCATGTCATACTGCTGGGCCTGCAGCTCCCCCGATCCTCCTTCCGGCCCTTGCAGTTGAATATCAGATTAGCAGTCTCCAGGCATGTGGGATCTACCCTGCTGTCCAGGACTGCTGATAAATGATGGAAAGCAGCTTAGCTGTCACCTCTGCTCATTCCCTCAGCCCTCTGGGTGGATCCCATCAGCTCCATGGACTTATGGCAGTCCGGGTGGAGCAGCAGATCTGTCTCCTGAATTTGGGGGCTTATTCTGCTCTTCGTCCCTCTAGGTCGGGGTGCTGAGTGCTCTGAAGATCGCTGATCTGATTATTAAGGACAGAAGTAAAGAAGGCTTTAAGAACCTCAGCCTCATCCTCAGTGATAATGTTCCCAACTGCATCCAGTAAAGGCTGTAGATTCTCTTTGGCTCTCCTCTTGCTGTTGATTTATTTGTAAAAGCATCTTGTGTTGTCTTTAATAATAGTGACTAGATTAAGTTTTTGCTGGGCTTTCACCTTTTCAATTTTCTCTCTGCCTATCCTAGCGGAGTCCTTGTACTCTTCTCAAGCTGCCTGCTCATCCTTCCAAAGGTGGTCAGCTCTCTTTCCTAGAGTCTCAGCAGAAGCTCATGGAACGCTTCCTCTGCCTCCTCACCTGGTCAGCTCTTCTGTCACAGGCTCCCAATGGGATGTCTGCCTTGCTGGTCTGCCCCCATCCTTACCCACAGGGACATGACATTCCCAGCCTTGAGCTCTGCAACATCAAAACAGTCCCTCACGTACGGGGTTCCCCACCGCCTCCTTCAGTGCCTGTCCCTCCTGCAGAGCCCATGGCTCTCTGTTGTAGCACTCTGGTTCTGAGTGTTCCCCTTGCCTTTTGGCGATGGCAGCTAAGTCAGATTTTGCCTGCTGCGTGGTGGCTCTGAGCTCCTCCTGTCTGCTGCCCGTGCTGTGGTGTAGATGTGCTTCAGCTGTCGGCCGTCGTGGTTGGGACCGGTGGCGGCTGCCCAAAGCATTACCTTGTTTTGATGACAGCTTCATAGCAGGAGGGCCCATCAGTGGCTGCTGTTTGAGCTTTTGTGTGATTATTTTTTAATAACTTAATGCTATGCTGACTCTGATAGGGTTTAAATGCTTAAACAAATTGGATACCGTGCTGCAGCATCTTGCGTTTGCCTCTCAGCCTTGCAAGTGTCAGAAATGACATCTGTAATCAGTGAGATGGCTGTATTTGAGTGTGGCACTGTGTTTCAGAATGCCTGCTTTGCAGTCGTGCTGCTAAATGTTGAGTTGTTAAGCTCAGTGTTAGCTGCTCTTCCCTTTCTTAGGGATCCTTGTTTGGAGGTGGGTCGGTGGTAGCGTGGAAATTGTATCTAACCTGGGCTTTTTTCTGTTGCGTGCTATTTAAGCCTGAAGAAAGCATGTTTTCCTGGGCCTGAAGAAGGGGAGGAAAACCTGATATTTCCCCCTTTTCGTGGGGAGGAGGAGCGGTTGGAGCAGTCTGGGGTAAGGCCTCTTCTCTTGAGACACAGGGCAGGCATGGGAGACTCCATCGTGTAGGATGTGAGAGGAGCACCCAGATGGACACAGAGCTGTTGGTCCTCCTGGGGAAGAGGAAGCCTTAATGTCACGATGGGCAGAAAGTCAGGAGCAAGGTAACGTGGAGGCAGGACCTCACTAGATGGTGGACAGAAAGATACCATTTCCTCTGCGTCTCGTTAGGGCTTGATTGTTTGATTGACTGAGAGCCCTCCCTGCAGCACCGTTACTGCTGTGAGATATGTGAGATAGTGTTTATTACTCAGCATGACATGAACAGCTCAAACAGAATCACACTTGTCAAATAAAAGGGGAAAATATTTGATGCTGCATCTGACATCTCAAAAACTAGAAGGCAAATGACTTGTTACTGTGAATTAGAGGCTTTGCCAGTGATAAGAAAGGAAGGAAACATTGGTTTGAGAGGATTGGACTAAGTGAGCTCCCTAGGAGGAGGGCAGAGGTTGCTGCTTCTAGAGCAGGAGCTGATGAAAGCATTTCATGGCTCTTGGCCCAGTCTTTTCTGTTGTGTTGGTATGAGCTGCTGCAGAATAACAGTTTTCAGCTAAATGTTCTACTCATTATTCTACATTCACAGCAAAGATCTGATGATATATTTGGAGACAGGGATATTTATTATCTCCCTGACCCAAAAAGCAATGTGAAAATCAGGTGGAAAATAACAGAGCGTCCTTCTTAGCTTGTGCAGTGAGAACACTGCCCTTCAGCACCTGTGTGCTTGTACTTGGGTTCTGCTCAGTGATGATCAGTTTGGCCAAGTGGGGCAGCGTGGGGCCTGGCAACGTGATGCACCTTGAGTCTGGGGGGTGAGCAGTATGTGTTCTCCACGTTATCCACAACCCACCATCGGTAGAACTCCTGTTACACTTTGTAAGGGCTGGCTGATCCTCCCTTGAAGGCCAGGGCAGGCCTGCTTACCCTTGGCATGCTTTGCTGTCTCAGGCACAGAAGGTTTGCAGAGCACTGCGTTTCAGGGCTTTGTTGCTGTTCCTAAGCCACTGCTTGCCTGAAACTGAGCTCCAGGCTTTACGCTGGATCACCAACCGTGCTGCAAATCCTGTCTTGATTGCTGTGGAACTGCTGTTGCACGAGTTTCTTTTTTCTTTCTTTATGACATTATTATTTAAAGAAAAGGTAAGCTGTAATTGTGGTTGCTATTTTTTTAAGGGCGAGTACCCCAAGAAAGCATCCTCAGAAAGGAGGAATGTCTTGTTAGAATGGTGATTGGTATAGCTCTAAAGCTGTGGTTCGTTGTTACTTGGGCAAATAGCATGGGGGAAGAGCATCTGGTAGTACAAATTGTTATAGCCCATTGAAGTCAGTGGAACTGTGAAAATTTACATAGCCAATGGTCTGTCTTACAGCTGTAACAATTTCGGGAGGTTTCATTGTGTTGCAAATGCTTTGTAGCAGCAGTGGTTTCTAGTAAATGCATTTGAGCTTACTTCTTGTGGATTGTGGAGGATTTGGCAGCAATGCCTACGGCTCCAGCTCTCCCTGGGAACAGGTTCTGAGCAGCCTTCTGGGAGCTGCATGGCTGGAAACTGTGGCTGGAGGGACCAGACTGCAGAGTTGTGATGAGAGTGGCACTGGTGTGTGCTTGTCACTATGTTTTGCATGGGGGCACTTCTGGACTTCAGTTTGGTTGGATCCTCGACAGAGGAGGCTTTTGCCTTCATAATCGCCCAATCTGTTTGTGTGTTGTCTTTTATCTTGATGGTAATCAACAGTCTGTGATGATGCATTCAGTTTTCTACCTTCTGGCACAAATCCGTGAGTACACTCATGTTGTGTTTACTTTCTTGTTCCCTGGCAGGCTCCTTACCCCTCAGGACAGAATGCAGCTCCAACCACGCTGGTGTACCCTCAAGCCCCTCAAACAATGAACACTCAGCCTCAGACCCGCTCGCCGGTAAGGCAGCCCACCTTTGCTTTATCTCCTCCCTTCCTCGTTTGCGTGGTTCTCTGTGTGTATGTGTGTCTGCAGCACTTGGCCACTTCTTGGGAAAGTCAGTTTTTCCGAACTGGAAGCACATTCCAAATGGCAAATCTTGACTGAATATGCAGGCGTTGTCCTCGTAGGATAATTTTCCTTATCAGAAAAGAAACGATGGAGGGATTCTCATCTACATTCAAATAACATGATTTATTTTTAGCATAGTTGCTTTCAGGTTCACTTCATTTTCAAATTAGATTCATTACCAGAGTCTTTCTCTTTGCTTCATTTTTGTTTTCTTTAAGGAAGTATTTGCTAAGTGGTAGCACAAAGATCAGTAAATGAAAGCGCTTCTCTGCAGCCACACTTAGTCCCCAGCGGCCTGTGGGCTTTACTCAGTGCCACTGGATCAGTTCTGCCCATTTATTGCTTAGCAGTAGGTAGGTGTTCACTCATGGAAGGTAGAGCTTCTGTGTCCCCCCATCTTGCTGAGGCGTTCCCCCTTCCTTCTGCCTTCAGGTTTCATTGTCCTCCGCAATCTTTTTGTACTGCTCTGCTGTGACGAGCCTTTGGTTTCCTGAGCTCTTGTTGGCAAATCTCAGCTTGTAGTGCAGTCCCACGTGGTGCTAGGAGACCTTCCTGTGGCACTGCACGCTTAGCCCTGTGCTGCAGGCCTGCTGGTGCGCTGCCCCGGTGCCAAAAGCCTCAGATTGCCAAGGGAGCAGCAGTCCCTGCATCTCTTGTGAACCTGCATATGCGTCGCAACACTTCAGGTTACCTGTGAAACCACTGCACCATTCCCAGCGCTGTTCTCTTTTTAGAGTAAGATGAATGCTGCTGAAGCGTGGCAACTGAAAGCCTCCGAGACAGAAGCCTTCTGTTTGCCCACTTAATAGGTACAGTACAGGGCTAGCTTACCCTGTGTGACCACACAGATGCCCCCAGGGCTGCAGGAGGGTTAGTTCTGAGAGCTGCTGACCTCTGTGCCATGGGTGAGCCAATTAATACCAGGTTTGATGATGTGATGGGGACCCCACCAGATCCCACTGCTTTCCTAGTCCCCTGTTCTGATCAGTAACGTGGGATACTGACGGTAAAGCTCTTTGCTCAGTAAGTATATTCAACATCTTTAATTGTTGAAAAGCAAAAATAAATTGATATGGTTAGAACTGGAGCAAAACCTGACTGAAGAGCTGCATCTCTAAACCAGTTTTTTTGACAGCCCAGCAGAACAGTGCCAATACATTGCACAGACAACTGGAAGAGGAGGAAGGTTTTGGAACAGAGTCCGGTTTACAGGTCCCTGGCTGGAAGAGGCTGGATAAAATACTGCATTGTAAGCAATATAACAAACTGTACTCCTTCTTGCAGGCGATTGTGCCGATGGCACTGTTTTATTTCTTTAATTCTTCTTTTTTTTTTACCACATCTTTTTGTTGGCTGATCTACAGAATTGCACTGATTTGCTTCTTTGCTAAAAGCATGAGCTCCCATGGCAGTTCCTGCCAGGTTAAGTGGCGACAGAATATCCAAAGTTGAGCTGAAGTTTGGAGGTCTGACCTGTTAGATGGAGACCAGAGTGACTTTGGGTTTTCTGCTCAGCAGATAATGTTTTTAGGAGATTTGGCCAAAAACGTGTCAAATTGTAGAGGCTTGGCCGTTACTGAAGAGGTACTGAGGAAGAATTGGCCTGCAGTTGTCAGCCGTTTCTCTGTGGTCGTGAACCTTTTTTTTTTTTAACTCTCATGTATGCAGTTTTTGCCATCTGCTCTGCTAGTGACCATTTCCACCCCCATTACTAAAAGCCACGCACATAACATTCCATTCCACCTCCCCGCCCCAAAACAAATGCAAGGCCGGCCACTCCTGGGCTACTCTTGCATTTTGTTCTGGCCTTGGTTTACTTTATTATTATTTTTCATTTATTTTTAGCCTTCTTTTTTGGTGGTGAGGGGAGGGAGCAGAGGGCAGAGGAAGGCGGCAGGGTGGCTCTGCCAGCCCCACGTGGCCCCGTCGCCCCGCTGCGGTGATGCTGCGGTGCGGCCGGAGCTCCTCCACGCATCCCAGGGCCATTGGCAATTGCACGGCTCGGGCTTTCCTGTTCCTCTGAGGACAGCTGCGTTTGCAGTGCCAACTGGCTTCACGCGTTGTCCCGGTGACTTCCTGGCGTTGCCGCTGTGGGATAGCGGGAATGTCAAGGTGCAGCTCCAGCAGGGGGAAGGAGAATGAAATCCGAGTTGTGTGACGCCGCCGCAGATGAGCTGTTAGGTGATGGCAGCAGCGGCTGCCCGCTGTGCGTCTCCAGAGCCCCGCTGGTGTTTGTGCCGTCCAGCAGCGGCTCTGTCGGGTCGGTGCTCCCTGTGCCGGACCAGCAGCAGATAGCGGCCGTGCCCAGATGTGTGCTGCCGGGTTTCCCCACGAGCCGTGCTTTCATCTTGCAGCCCTCAGAAGAGCAAAGCGTCCGTTTGAATCCAAGCCAGCCGTGACTACAGTTTGTTCTGTTGCTTACAGCTGCTAATAGGAACGAATCCTGTCAACCTGAACTGTTTTTTTAAAAAAAGAAAAAAATTAAAGTTGAGAGAAATCAATAGCCAGTGGTGACCAGTGCAAATAGATCAGGGTATTTTTCACTAATTTTGCGGTTTTGTTTTTATTTATCTATATTTTTTTTCTTTTAACATGGCGCTGCTCACGCTGGCATAGTCTCTGGCTTCCTGAGGTGTAAGCATCAGTTCTTGATGAGAACGAATCTTTCCTGCAGAACAGTGATGAGAGGAGTTTTGACCCTCAGATTATGCAGCATGAGGTTTTTGTATCCCATTATGCTCTTTTTAGTGCTTCTAAAACACATCTGATGTATTTATTTTTCACTGGCATGTAGCAGGGAGTGCAGCCTGCACCACAAAGGCCCCTCTCAGCCTTTCCAGGTCAGCGCTATTCCTTCTTCTCAAACAACCAACATTTTTTTGAGGAGTTCTTCCTGAGGAACAGGGACCCAAAGTGCATCCATCTCTGCTAGGCTCCCACAGGCCGATGCTTCCCACAGCTGGTCTTTGGTCTGAAGAGCTGTGAATCTTTTGTTTTTTCTTATCTGGAAAGCCAAGGGAGATGGTTCAGGAGCTGGGGGTGGGGATGTCATGGGCTGCGCCAGCGCAGGTGACTGCGAGCTCTCACGGTAGTTGCTGTGTGTGCATGTCCTCGTTTCTGAAAGTTCTTGACTTTCCACCCAGGTGTTGCAGTGAGATGAAGGTAGAGGCAGTGTGTGAACACCGGTATTAGAGACTGCTTCTTGGAGACATGGAAAACGAGTGATTAAAATGTTTATTAGGGAGAAAATCAGCTGGACCAGTGAATATTTAAACTAGCGTCTTGTATTTCGTGCTGCGGAAATAGCAGGGATGTAGGGCTGGAAGTCATTCTCACTCCACTTACTCTGACTGAGAAAAAATCTCGTTACAAGAGTCAGTAATTAGCAGCCAGTTTTGACTGCTTTTCTCATTAGTCCTTTTCTTCCACGGGATCCGTGGCAGCCCTCAGGGTCCCAGCAGGGGCAGCAGGGGGACGTGGGGCAGCACTGCGCAGTGCCGGGCAGAGAAACATCACAGTGGGACCCGGTCTCATTGCTCCCTTTAATTGTTGGAGCTGTTACCATAGGTGTACCTGTTCTCATCTGAGGATTCTGCTGATTACGCTGAGAATTAAGAGCTGAAGTACCTAACTTGGCTTCTTAAAGAGAATACCTTGTCATCTTTATTTATATTTTCCATTTCTTGCATTCATTTTTATTTCTATTTTAACAACCTACTACTTATTGGAAAATGCTTTAATGTCGACCGAGCATGTTCAATTCTGAATGCTTTCCTCCCCACGTAGCCCAGGCGGGTGGGAAGCGATGTGCCCGCGCTCGGGGCTGGGGGCTCTCCCGTTCCCAGTGCCAGCGGTGCCCGTGGGGACAGCATGGCTTCACCCGTGTCCTTCAGACGGGCCGACAGCCCCTCGCCGTCACAGACTGGGGGGCGGCTCTGAGGCCAGCTGCTTTCACCATTTACCTCCACTGTGAACAGCTGAAAACCTTCACCGCTGCTTCTTTGAGTTTTTCCCTGGGCAGGGTGACGAATGCCTGCCCTGCCCCAGAGCACCTCTGAACGGCCGGCAGCTTTGGCTGTTTGTCCGCCAGCTCCGCAGCAGCGCACACTCCCCGCAGCGGTGCTCACCCGTTCTCTCACAGTACCTGTCTGTCACTGTCCTGCAGCACAGCTTTGACTGTTTGTGGTTTTTCTTGTGGGTTTATTTTTGCATAGAGTGTGACATTTTGGTTTCGTTGTGGTGTTTCTGACTCTTTGTGCCTTTCCTTTTGTGTTTGTTTCTCCCGCCTTTCCCCAGTTTGCAGCGGGGCCTCGACCTGCCCATCACCAGGTACAGTACCCTGCCCCTTCATTACCATCCTAAACTAATCTGCTGGGGGAGGGGGTGGTCAGAGGCTGTCACCCACTAACCTGGGGCGGAAGCTGGCTTTGGAGCCCTGTTCCTAGCTGCTAGCACCCACATAACCCCGCTAACAAGCTGCCTGCAATGCGGAGTAACACGTAGCTCCAGTTTGGTGTCACTTGCACTCATTAACCACCCCACTTACACCATTTCCGTAGGAGTGGAGAAGCGTAGAGGTTGCCAGGTATGTGTGAAGTTTGCTTGCCTTTTCGATTTGCTAGGAGCTCACGTTTCTCAAAGCACCCAATGGATAACCCTGCCTGAGCTGAAGACTTCGACGCGAGCTGGGCATTCACATCCTTCTGAAAATCCTACTTTTTAAATTCAAAAATTCAAATTCATTCACTCCTTGTGTATATTCCTGGTTTTCAGTTATCATTACATTGCTCAGTGTTTTCTTTCCCTCAGTATATGAAATCCAGACATTAAGAATCTTAGTAGTATTCCTGGGCATCGTTAGGAATCGCTTGACTAAGAAGAACAAAAGTAAGGAATAGTTCTGAAGGTCAAGAGGAGCACTTGTTGGTAGGGAGGGCAAAATAGCAGAGGGATCTGGACAGACACACAGCTCTGTTCTGACCTGTTCGAAGTTGTCTTCTCCATCAAACCCAACCATCATCTGTGCAGACGCTCTTTCTCAGTGTCTCTGGGAACTGGTTTTGTTCCCTCTTGTAGCTTTAGCAGGGACAGAGGTGGCCTGAGCCACCTGGGCGTGTGGGGCAGCAGAGGAGGGGCATAGTGGTATGGGAAGTCTCACCCAGCTTGGTCATTTTCATGTCATTCTTATTTCTTCCTTCTTAAGTTCTTTGCTATGAGGGCGGTGAGGTGCTGGAACAGCTGCCCAGAGAGCTGTGGATGCCCCGTCCATGCCTGGAGGTGTTCAAGGCCAGGTTGGATGGGGCCCTGCACAGCCTGGTTTAGCATTAAATGTGGAGGCTGTGGTCCTGCCTGTGGCAGGGAGTTGGAGCTTCGTGATCCTTGAGGTCCGTTCCAACCCTGGCCATTCTGTGATTCCTTGAAAAGAGCCCATCTGTCTGCACCACATTAATGGGAAAAAATGATTCAGTTACCTCTAGCAATGTTGGGACAGGCTTATATCACAGAAGGTGTGTTCCAGGAAAGCTGTAGGTGTCACATCACTCCTGCTGGTCTGAGGGGCTTGGTGCTACAGCAGTGCATGCCTTTGGGACAGCAGGTAAGTGGGACACACTGGCCAGCTTTGTGCTTTGTGCCTCAGTGAGCAGCAGGCAGACATGTGCCCTTCCAGGGCAGGACACAAAAAAAGGCTTAGAGAGCAGAATGAGGCGTTTGCTGGACTTATTTGTTTGCAGGCAAACATCATGTGAGAGAGAGAAATGATTTTTTGCATGGCAAGGGATTGCATTGACGGGCAGTGGTGGAGGAATGTTTGCGAGGATTACTGTGCAGCACGCAGAACGACAGAGTGTCTTGTTTAGGTATTGATGTTCTTGACCTTAACTTCATCTCTGTGTTGATATTATATGATGTTGATAATGCATAGTGGGAGACTTCTGTCCCCCGATGTTGACTGGAAAAGCGACACTGCCACACACACAGAGTCCAGGAGGTTCCTGCAGCACAGTGAAGATGACTTTCTGGCGCAGGTAGTGGGGGCTCGAGAGAGGTCACTGCTGGACGTGGTTCTTATGAAGCGAGCCTGGCAGGGGAGATGAAGGTTGGGGGCAGCCTTGGATGCACATGACCACGAGATGGTGAAGTTCAGGATCTTGCAGGAAGAAACAAGGCAATAAGTAGGATTGCAGTCCTGGACTTCAGGGAAGCCAACTCTGACCTCTTCAAGGACTGCTTGGAGGTATCCCATGGGCTAGAAGGTTGGAGGGTAAGGGGACCAAGAAGGTTGGTTGACATTCAAGCATCGTTTTGTCCAAGCTTAAGATTTATGCATCCCTCTGTGTAAGAAATCAGGCAAAGGTGGCAGAAGACCGATGTGGATGTGCACTTAGCTCATGGAAAAACTTGAATGGAAGAAGAAAGCTTATGGGGTGTGGAAAAAGGGTCTGGCCATTTGGAGGAATATAAAAGCGTTGTCAGGGCATGCAGGGATGCAGTGAGGAAGGTTAAGGCCTGATTGGAATTAAATCTGGCAAGGGAGGTCAAGGACAAGAGGAAGGGCTTTGTTAAGTATATCAGTAGCAAAAGGAAGACAGGGCAGTGTGGGTGTCCTGGTTACAAGGGACACTGAGAAGGCAGAGTAACTGAACGTCTTCTTTGCTTTGGTCTTTTCTACTGAAACTGGCACTCAGGAATCACAGACCGTGGAGATAAGGGGAAGTCTGGAGGAAGGAAGACTTTCCCTTGGTCAAGGAGAATCTGGTCAGAGGTCATCGAGGCAAACTTGACACATGCAGATCCATGGGTTGCAATCATGAGTGTTGAGGAAGCTGCAGAATGGATGCTGAGCTGGATGCTCTCTATCATCTCTGAAAGGTTGTAGGGAATGGGAGATGTTTCTGAAGACTGGTGTAAATCTGCTGTCACTCCAGTCTTCAGAAAAGGTAAAAAAGAGAAGCCGGGCAACTCTGGGTGTCAGCTTCACCTCCATCCCTGGAGAGGTGTCATTCTCCAAGCAACTGGAAGAGAAGGTGTATCAAGATAGTCAATATGAGTTCAACAAGAGGAAATCATGCTTTATTATGTCATGACTGGCAAGAGGAGAGCAGTGAATGCTAACTTGATGTCAGCAAGACTTCTGACACTGTCTCCCTTAACGTCCTCACAGACAAGCGTGGGAAGTGTGGTACAGACAAGGGGACAATGACGTGGACTGGGAACTGGCTGGCTGGCGGAGCTCAGAGGGCGGTGATCAGTGGCATGGAGTCTAGCTGCAGGCGTGTAGCTAGTGATGTTCCGTGGCAGTCAGTACAGGATCTGGTCATGTTCAGCGTCTTCATCAATGAGCTGGGTGAAGGAGTATATGTACCCGTGGCAAGTTTGCTATGATACACAGTTGGGAGGAGCGGCTGACACACTGGAATAATATGCTGCCGTTCAACCAAGACCTGGACAGACTGGAGAGTTGAGCAGAGAGTACCCTGATGAAGTTCAGCAAGAGCAAGTGTAGGGTCTCGCACCTGGGGAGGAACAACTGCAAGCATCAGTGCAGACTGGGGGCTGTGCTGCTGGAGAGAAGCTTAGAAGAGAACTTTGGTGTCCTGGTGGCCAACAGGGAGACCACGAGCCAGCAGTTCCCTGGTGGCCAGTGGGAGCCCGTGTGCATTGCACAGAGCACGGCCTGCAGAATAAGGGAGGTTCTCCCCTCTGCTCTGCCCTGGGGAGGCCACATCCAGAGCGCTGGGCCCAGTGCTGGGCTGCCCAGTTCAAGGCAGGCAGGGAACTGCTGGGGAGAGCCCTGCAGGGCTACAGAGAGATCGGGGCCTGGAGCATCTCCTGCATGAGGAAAGGCTGAGAGCCCTGGGGCTGCTCAGTGTGGGGAGGAGAAGGCTGAGAGGGGATCTGAGCAACCTTAGAAATGCCTGCAGGGTGGGAGGCAAGCGGAAGGGGCCAGGCTCTTTTGGGTGGTGCTCAGAGACAGGACGAGGGGCAACGGGCACAAACTGGAACCCAGAAGTTCCATATGAATGTCAGAAAAAATATTTTTATTTTGGAGGTGGCAGAGCTCTGGAACTGGCTGCCTGCAGGGGTGGAGGTGGCTCCTTCTCTGGAGATACTCACAAGCCACCTGGATGCTTTTCTGCACATCCTGCTCCAGGGAATTAGCAGGGGTTGAACTGGGGGATTTCCAGAGGTCCTTTCCAACCCCTGTGATTCTGTTTTTTCTGTGTTTGTCAATCAATAGTTATTTCATAGGTTGATACTAATACAAGCTGTGATCTGTCAGTAAGTCTTGTAATGATTACCAGGTTGGTGGAAGCAGAACCTGGAAGAGTTGACTCTGTGTGAGGCAGCTCAGCCCTTCAGGAGATGCCGTGCCGGCAGGGCTCACTGATGGCACTGCAGCACCCTGCTGTCATAACAGTTTAAAGCTTTCTTTGGACCCAGGTATGACCCTGTCACCAGTTAGCATTTGTAATTTCCCAAGTGTTTTCCTGACTTGGGCACCTTTTCCTGACTTGGGTAACTTTTAATCCCAATGTCAGTGGTTACCCACCATGCAGACTGGGGGGGGGTGGGGAAAAGGGATTTTTGCTGCTGACCTGTACAGAGGAGTGACAGCCGTGGGAATGAACTCATTGCAGAGCCAACATGAGGAGGAATTTGAGTCTAATGTAAATTATTCTTCTTCCATGAACTGGAAAAATGTGGTCTGCTGAAATAGAGAAATATGGAATATGAGCAGCAGGCTTTGAGGCTGATTTTGTACCCTCAAAACTCCAAAGTGCATCTCCCACAGCAGTGCTGCTGTGTGTTACGGCGATGTAACGTGTTCTTGTAGGAAGGCAGCAACACAACGAGGTTTGTAACGATCTGTGATGCCATTAATATGCCTGTTATTGATCCTGCGTCTTCTGCAGTCAAGGGATGGATTGCTCTTTAATGTTATTTCTTGTAATTATTAAATCTTCGGAGTCCTCAAATTAGCACTGTTCAAGCACCTGAAGGTGGTGCGGCAGCTGTATCAGTAGTCTCTTCTTGGTCAGGAATGCTCCAATGGTCCCAAGCTGGCCGGTGCTACAGGAGGTGTCATTGAGGTCTGTGTGACAGAAAATATGAAGATGAGATTTAGGATGCTGTGCTGAGTGAGTAGCAGCTGAAGTCCAACGGAAACAACCACAGTGTTTCTGATTAAAAGTTAAATGTGCGTAACTAATCCTTGCTGCTGGTAATGCAGCTATGGAGGCACAGCTGGGAGGCCTGGCGTTCTATCAGGGAGCAGATGGGTGCCATTGAGGGTTTTGCAGCGATATTTTTACATCTCTGTCCACTTGTGGCTTCCTGCACAGCCCGGGGGCGCTGCCTTGGTCTGAATGTGGAAATCCCACGTCCCGCCGTGCACACGGAGTGTCCCTGTTTGTGTTCTTCTGATTGGTGTGAAGCTGTTGGGCCTCCTTGTTTCTCCTGATCCTCGCAACTGGAAATAGCAGTTTTCTTTCGAGCTGGAGTCTAAAAATGCAGAATAACTGTTAGTTTGGGAAACAACTTCAGGAGCGCATGGGATATTTTAGAATGGATGCTTCGAAGAGGCCACTGTAATTAAAAACAGAAATCAGTGTAAGTATAAACTCAAGGGTTGTATGGCTTATAATTGTATTTGAGGTGAGTTTATTGGTTGTGGCAGGCTGAGTTGTAGCTCATTGCAGATTTATTTGGGGTTGTGTGAGTTCTTCTGAGTGTGGCTTATACAGCAGAAGGCATCAGCAGCGTGCTGTGTCACAGAGCCTGCGGTGCCGAGAGGTCGGAGATTTGCTGCCAGAATTCATTTGGTCACAGGGGATGAAGGAACCTTTTGGAGGCTTATGGCCAGCAAGTTGAGCTTTGCTTTTACTGCCTTTCTCTGCAGTTCTGTGCGGGGCTTCATGGATCATTGCAGCCTCCAGCCTCACTGCAGTGGAGCAATCTGAGCAAACCCAGCGCATGCCGTGCGCTCTGCTGTCCCCAGAAGCTGCGCTGCTCAGCGGAGCTTTCAGAGCATTTCCCTGGGAGTGAGGACTGAGAAATCTGGAGCCAATAGAAAATCAGTTAAGGCGCAGCAGAGGTTTATCAGGAGGTTGGCGTTTACTTTGGTCATTTATTTGTCTGCTTGCAAATCTGATGTCTCTTATGGCAGCCCTTCAGCAGACAGTGTCTGGAACCACAGGGTTGTGCGTGGGAGGAAAATTAAAACAGAACATGCTGAATAAGAGAATATTGGGGTGTCTACAAGGACTGATTGGGTAAGTGGCAGAGTAGTGCTGAGAGGGTAGGCAGGAGGTTCGTGGTGATCACCATGGCACAAAGAGCAGGTAATGTCTGCAGCAAACCTAACGAGTACAAGGCTGGGAAGTACGGGCAGCATAGAGAGCCTATGTGAGAAGGGCCAGTGCAGGGGAAGCAAGGTGCAATTCAGCATCACAGAAAGCAGACCCTCACACTTCAGTGCCAAGGGAAATACCAAGTGTTGGCTGGGACCACCTGTGTGATGCCATCGTTACATGAGCAAGAGCAGTTATTTCCAGTTGGAACAGGGAGTTACTACTGCTGTGTTAGGAAGTAGTGGCAAAACCATGTCTGGGGAATGTGTGTGATTATCCTTTTTTTATTTTCCACAAAGATTTCCTTGGACAGATACAAGGAGGGCTGCTGAGATGATGAGAGCTCATTGAGCAGACTGGAAGAGTTTAGCTAGCAGAGGTGGACAGATGAGGGGTGAGACTGGGACTTGAGGACCGCAGTTCAGTTCTTCTCTCCTTCCTTGTTGACTCGAGAGTGTTTTGCACTAATTTGACCATCGCTGGGATATAGCAGGGCTTTTTGAAGGCAGTGATCTGGGAAGGGTTCTGTGAGAAGCATCAGAGCACCTTTGTTCTGGCGCTGTGGGTGCTGTGCGCTCCGGGCCCGAAGGTGGGGCGCAATGTCTGTTTTCAACCTCCTGGCATTCTCCTGTAGGGTACCATGAGCGTTACTTAAAAATGGGTCTGTGCGAGCACCCCTTTGGCCTTTCAAAACAAATCTTTTACCAAATCAGTGTAGTAAAATATTTCTGTGGATGACTTTGAGTATTGCTAGTTTAGCTTCGAAGGGACGTAATAGGAGAAAGCATCAAGAAGTCTGATAGTGCAGAGTTTGGGCAGTAAAACCCATAAACAAACCTGTTGCACAGTGCTCTGAAATCTGATTTTCTTGTGTATTTTAATTTGACTTACAGGAACTGGAATAACTCAAAGCAATGCAGGCTTTGCTGGAGACCTCTGTGGCTGGCTCTTCCACATCCTCCTGTTGTCTTGTTTGGAATAACGGATCTGCTTCTTTTCTTGCTGTGTCCTTCTTCCTAGAAGTAATGAGAACCTTATTTTTTTTCCTTCCTCTCTGGATCCAGCTTCCTCTCTGATGGTGTGGGCAGTGTTGTGGAGAGGTTGTTGGTTTGGTTAGTTTGCTTGCTTAACCCCAAGTTTCCTTGCTGGAGGTTCTCTTTCTGCCACGGAGCATCTTGGCACTCCCCTGGTGTTACTGAGTGCTCGGTGGAAGGGCAGTACAATGTGGTGCACAGAGCATGCTTTCATTCCATCTGCCAAGGCAGGGAGGAGAGCTGGCTTGTGTTCCACAAGGAGCAGTTTTTCCAGCGTGTCTCCCCTACCCCTCATGTTTCATGCTGTGCCAGAGGCAGAAAGGAAAAGCTGTCCGTAGGCCAGCACTTTCCATTGCTGTCAGGTTTTCCTCTGCCATTTCAGTGCTGTGTTACCAGCAGGCTCCTGACACGTGTCTGCAGGAGTGTGGGGTGGCACCTGTGTGCGCCGCTGCAGGATTCCCAGCTTCTGCCCTGCTGCTGGGGAGCATCCATCTCCAGCACCTTCACTCTGCAGAACCGTGGTGGCTATTGCCTTTTTTCTTCTTTTCTTCTTCTCTTTTCTCATTCTTCCCTTCCCTTCCCTTTCTTCATTCCCCACTGCACTTTGGCTCTCCCAGAGTTCTGCAACCCGCTAACAGCATAGCAATGGTAACTCAGCAGCTGGCAGCGGAGGAAGAAAGGACATGATTTCCTTCATTCCTGAACCTGGAGTACAGACCCTTCCAAGGTGCCCCCCCTGATGGTTCTGCACATTTATCAGTAGCCCTGAGAACAGTGAAGAGAAGCGGCAGTGAAAGAAAATATTTTAGAATTCTTTTTGATGTCTTCAGGGATTGAGGAATTGCAGAATTCAGTTAATCTCACTGTAAATTTAGCATATCTCCCAGTAGTGGTTCCTTGCGTCTGGGCAGCCACACAGCTGTGTTAGTGGAGAAGCAGAGCAGCACAGCTCTTCCCGTTCTCTTCCTGCACCCTCACTTCCAGATGTCCCCATGCAGCTGCTGCTGTCCGGGTCACACGGAGCAGTGATGGCTCTGCACCCCGGCTCACAGAGTTGGACGTAAGGCATTGTGCTCACCCTGGTTGTGTCTGGATTTCTGCAGCAGAGGTTGGCTTTTCTGGAGACGTGTTTTGCTATGGGAGCACTGTAGGTATCATAGAGCGCTCAGGAGCACCAGAACGGTCATTTTAATGTCACTGTCATGTCACATAGAGGCATCACAGCTTCCTTCTGCCCTGCCCCGTGCTCTCCGAATGCCGAGGCAGACAAGCCTAGCACATGCCTTCATCCTTTAGCAATTACCCTCTTTTTTTGGTTCTCACTGCTCATGATGCCGTTGCTCACAGACTATTTGCATTGATACACTTCATCAGTCAGCTTTCTTTGGTGTGATGTACGATGACCTAATTTTATTATCGTTATTTTTTTGCTTAGCAATTAAATACGTGGCATTTCTTATCCTTCCAGTCTGGATGCAGAAGTGGAGACCAAACCCATGATTTGAGCATGTGTTACTGCTTTATCCACTTTGTATTACTGAAAGAGACCAAAAAGGAAAAATGTTTGACCTAGGAACAGAGTAAATATAGAGTCTTTATGTAGCATCACAATTCCTACAGTTAATTATTGTTTGTTTTTTTCTTTATTATTATTAATTTCTGTACTTCCATATGAAACCTTTCCAGAGGAGTTTCTGCCCCTGATGTGGGGTTCTGGTAGGACAGTCCTGCACCAGTTCAGTGTCCTTCTTGCTGTTTGTGCAGGATCTCAGTCACAGCAGGGCAGAAAGATGAATGGAGCTGTGTGCAGTTAGGGTGCATGTTAAATCCTATTCCTTCCTATTGATCTGTAAGCTGTTCCATTGGCTTTCTTTCTGTTTCCTGCTGCTTTCTTGCTTCGTTATTGAAGGGAGGATTCAGACCTATACAGGTAATTTTAACTCCTGGTTCTGCATGGCATAAGTGTCTCTTTATCACTCGCATCATTATTCTGTTAGTGAATGCCTGACTGTCTGCATACCTTACCAGCTGGGTCTGAGAGTTGCCAGGGCTCGCAGCCGGAGCGAGGGCTGCTGTGAAAGCTCCATCCTGGGATGCTGGTGCCTTTCCCAGTGCTTCCGAGCCGAGACCTGAGCACATTCCAGTGGGTTCCTTGATTTCCTGGACCTGTTCCACTTGTTTGGGGCATCACTTCATGCAAACATGGTAGAGGAGTTTGGTGCCACCTGGAAGAGGTTGCCACCCTTCTGGAAACGAAGCACAAGACAAGTTCCCTGGCTCGGTTTGCACGGGGCGTCTGTGCCCTTCGTAAAGCTGGGCCTTCAGCTGTTCTGGAGTTAGATTGGAACAGCTGCCTTGATCTTTGATTTCCTGATAAAGGTGGCTTTTGGCAGTCATCCCACCTTATAAAAGCATATTTGACAGAAATTGTGTTTCTGGCTGTTGGTGTGAAAGTTGGGGTGTATAATTCAGTAGGTGCAAACTAGTAGCTAGATGTAAAGTTTCACACCTGGTAAAAATCGAAGGTGCTAGCATGAGCTTGTTGTTTACAAATAGTCAGAAATTGTCCTGCTGTTTTCTGAATGCGTGGCAACCCTTTGGAAGTAGTACTGAATGGCAATATTGTCTGCCTTTGTAATGCTGCCCATCCTTCCCCAGAAGGACTGACCGACTCTTTGTTCTCTCCTCTCTCCTCCCTCTCTCCCTTCCCTGCCCCAGTTTTTTCAGAGGCCTCAGATCCAGCCTCCACGAGCCACCATCCAGAACAGCAGCCCTTCCATCCGTCCTGGTGCACAAACACCGACCGCAGTGTATCAGACCAACCAACACATCATGATGGTTAATCACCTGCCGATGCCGTATCCCATGCCTCAGGCCCCCCAGTACTGTATACCACAGGTACAGACACCTTTCCCAGGCACTATAGAAGCCAAGCAACCTTTGCTCTGTCTGGATTTTCTCCATGACTGCTGCAGCATCAGCAGAGGGAGAGAGATGTAACTCGCTGCGTATTTAGATCCCGACCTTCTCTTTTATGAAATATCTGCTCATCTGAGCACGGAGGCATTAGGAATGAATGAACCCTTTGGTTTTCGAGATCCTTTCAGCAACGGTGTGAAATCAAGCTCCTTGGAAAATGCTGTAGATGTATTTAAATTGACTTAACAGCTCTAAAACCTTGGGCTTTGTAAGAACGCAGTATTACCGAAAGAGGGGAGTGACTTGTCTTTGTAAAGAACTTTGGCAGCCTCATCTTTATTGATTTCTGAGGCTTCTGTTGCATTTCCTTCGTGCAGCAGCACGCCGTCGCCTATCTCTCTGTAAACAGGTGGTTGTGTTTTTCCTCCTAGTATCGCCACAGCGGCCCACCCTACGTCGGGCCCCCCCAGCAGTACCCTGTGCAGCCGCCGGGGCCGGGCCCCTTCTATCCAGGACCGGGTCCTGGGGAATTCCCCAACGCCTACGGTGAGTTCTGCTTGGACGTTTCCTGCGTGTGTTTTTTGCACTTGTCAAGCTGAAGATTTGTAATGCCAAACTGGATTAGCATTTATTTGAACTTTAAATAGCTGCTCGATTCGGTTGTGTCACGGCCCTGATTATTCACTCCTGAAAAAATCACAGTAATGGAGTTTTGTTTGTATGAATGCTCAAGGAAGGGCTGCAGCTCATAGAACTACCCACAGTCACATGTGAACAAGAATAGTGGCTGGCTGTTATTCCCTGCTAAATCATTACTATCGATTAAGGTGTTGTCAATACATCCCTCAGCCCTTGTCTCCTCTGAGCTGCGCCCTCCAAAGTTAGCATCTTTGGTTCCCGCATTCCTCGTTTGGTGTTTAGAAATGGAGAAGGGCAAGCCTTGTGCCTTACCTGCTGTCTGGTGCTGCGGGGTGGGTGGTCGCACTGTGCTGTGCTCTGTGGCCATTTGCACGTGGTGCTGAGTGTGTGACACTGTCTCTCAGGCCCCAAGGCTCAGAGCCACACCTCGGAGCAGAGCAGCTTCCTCCTCCATCCCCCAGCAGCTCACAGCCGCCTCTCTCCTGGCTCCTTGCATGCAGATGTGTGAGCCCTTGGAAGGGCCTTGGAAACGCTTTGTCATTTCTAACATGCTGCCATATGCGATGATACCACACTCGAAGCACAGTCCCCTCCAAGAGTTTCTGCAGGATCTATCAGCACAAACAAACCTGTTCTGTTTGAATGACTGCAGAAATAGGTGTCTTGCAGTAATGCATATCATTGTTACTGCCGTTATTTGCCTTGCCTTGCCCACTTCTAAGAACTCTGGGAAACCCCAGGATGTTTCAACAAGCCCTTCCTTTGGAGCTGCAGCAGTGGGGCCTGCTCTCAGCCCTTGCTTTCCAGCTGACAGCTTGAGGAATGCATCCTTTGAAGTTGCAGATCAGATTGTGCAGAGCTGGGTTCACTGGCTTTTGTGTATTTCTCCGCTTGCTTGAGATAGCAGTAACCTCCTGTTTTGGTTACAGTGGTCACAAAGACGTCAGAAACAGTGCAGATTTTCATTCCCATTTAAAGGTTAGTTCAGCTGAAGAATAAATCAGATTACTTCGGGGGGGGAGTGAAAGCAAGTGGCCATCTAGCATCCATGGAAAAGCAGACAACAGCCCTGCATTGCACGCTTGCCTGCTGTCTGGTATGTGGGCAGGAGACAGCTCTGCTGTGACACTCCTGTTTGTGGAGCACTTCTGGAGAGAACCCATTCTCCATGAGGCAGTCTCAGTGCATAAAGAAAATGCAGCGGTGTTGGATGTTAGGCATGCAGTCAGCAATGCAGTGTAGTTTTGGGGTGCTGTCTGTGCTTCTTTGTGTCACCAAGCAGTGGAGCCCAAGGGGGTCATGTTGCTTTTCCTGCCCTAGGGGTCTCAGTAGCCACTGGGGCACACGCTAAGCTCTCACGTGAAGAAGTGACCTCATCTCCTGTCTTGCTGGAGCAGCAGCTCCCATTTAGTGGAAGTGGGGAAGAGCAAAACAGACTGGTTTGCAGCTGGAAGTGTTGGTCAAAAGAAGGGAGGGAGGAGCAGGTGGACAAGCAGCTTCACCTCTTGTGTTTGGTTTTGTTTCGTTAACAAACAAGCTGAATCTCTCACTCATTTCTGTGCTGTCCTTCCCCAGGAACACCTTTCTACCCGAGTCAGCCGGTGTATCAGTCAGCACCCATCATAGTGCCTACGCAGCAGCAGCAGCCTCCACCAGCAAAAAGAGAGAAAAAAACGGTAAGGGAGCCTCTCTGACAGTACGCTGTGTCTGGGCACTGCCCTGCTGCTAAGGCTGAAGGACATGGGTGAGGGCTTGAGCTGAAACCTGAGCTGTATCTTCGGAGGGGCTGACTCTTCCATCGCACACCCACACTGCATTGGCACTGCGCAGCGCTGACTTCGTTTCAGTTTGATGGGGAACCTTTCTGTGCTGTTCTGTAACGTCACAGCCAGATGGGAGGGAACACACTTCTGCAGCTCATGGGAACCCACAAGCTATACACTGAAGAATATACACTGATACTTCATTCCATGTGGCCTGATGAATTCCCACCTGCAGTGACAGCGGTTCAGGCGCCGGTTGAGCACTCAGTGTGTTCTCAGGTGTTTGGTTTTGGATGGCATGCTCCATCTCAGTGTGGAAGAGGAAAACAGAAAGGCTTTCTCCTGTCCCAGCAGCTGGGCTGCCAAGGCCACTGCATCTCCTATTGGGTAATATGGGGCTTTTTGTTTCTTTCTTTTTGTCTGGCAAGTTTATTTCTGTAGCTAAACTGCTACATTGTCCAATTTTCCCTAAGCTTATTTTCCAAATCTAGAGATCACAGATGCACAACAAGGCATGCATTTCTTCTTAAAGTTGTGCCACACTTGCTTTAGATCGAAGGGAAGAGGTGCGTGTGTTTGATGAGCATTTTGATTGAATTGGGTTTTAAGATGAGGAGATGAGATACCATGCATTTCAGGTTGCAGTGCTCCTGCAGAGCATCAGCTCAGTCTGGAGTGTCTCATGCTGTGTGGGATGGTAGCATGTCCTGCCCCTGAGCCCCAGGGACAGCTTGTGAAGGAAGACTCACTCAAACTCTTTCTTGGCTCCAAACCGTAGATCCGGATCCGGGATCCGAACCAGGGGGGCAAAGATATAACAGAAGAAATAATGTCCGGCGGGGGCAGCAGGAACCCAACGCCGCCCATCGTCAGACCCACCTCCACCCCAACCCCGCCTCAGGTAACAGCATGACTGTGTGGCTTTGCCTTTGTTAGAGCAGCTTCTTTATCTTCCATCCACACCAGCAACACCTGGATGCTCTTTCCCTAAGTTGTCCATGTCCTTAAGCTTTTTTTTTTCCCCAGGTTTGGTCATTTTTAGCAGCCCTCAGCTTGTACCATGCAGAGCTGCAGTGCTGCTGGCAGTCCCTCCTTCCCCTTGTGTGTGTCAGCAGCGGTGGTTGGAGCTGGTGAAGTCTTTGGGGAGGACGTGGTGTCTCCACTACTGGCTCGTGCCCCCCATAGGTCATGCCTGGGGTTGGTGGTACATCTCAGATCACATTACTGTCCATGCTAAAGCCCTCCCACTTTAGTCTTGCTTTAGGGTGCTACAGGGACAGTGACTCAGGCCATTTATCGTGGAATTTCCAAATCTGGTCTTTGTGCATGCAGCCTCTAAAGGGAAAGAAACAAACAACAAAACCAAATCAACAGAAAAGGGCATGGCCAACAATTAAGCTGATTGGAAACCTGGGGCTGTTGGGTCCTTTCTGGACCAGGAGAGCAGTGCAGATGGGCAGTACTGCCATGAGCACACATCCACCTTGACATGAACCCCAGAGTCTGGAAGTAGCAGTGTGGACGAGCTGCAGACAGCTGTTTCAGAGTGCTTGTGGGGGGTGCAGGTAACGCAGGGTTGCTTCTGCATCCAGCAGTCTATTTTAAGGTACTACAATTAAGTCAAACGGGACAAAATAAATGCTCCTCAAGAGGAGGTTAGTAAGCCTGGATTTCTCATCAGCTGTCATTTGTATGCAGAGTGCAACGGTGATGTCCAATCATATGCTCTAAGCAAAGTATGCAAATACTTCATTGTTTCATAATCAGGCTTCGTTTTGATTAGCTACTTGGAGCCACTTTTGTTAATGACAGAAGAGCTCTGAGATAGAGCTCACCAGTGAAATTCCATTTGTGCAACACAACTGGAAATTCAAGCCCGCTTGAGCCAGGAGGTTCAGAGTTATTGTCCCAACAGCATCGGTGATTTCTGTCAAGCAGGAGTGTTCTGCCCTGCTCAAAGGCAGTAGCTGAAGAAGTTGGAAAGGGGAGTCCCAGGAAAGGGAGGAGATGGGCAGAGCTTCTTTTTAGGGAAATGCATTCAGCGTGGATTTCTGACGGTGTCTGAAAGGAGCCGGACAGCCGTGTCCTGGGCACTCTGCTCTGTCAGGTCGGGTTCTGCAGGAAGAGCAGCCTTCTCAGCTGTGTGACCTGCTGCTCCTGCACTGTGTGTCTGCATATGGGAGGCATCAAGCTCCCTCTGTGCTGGCATTCTCTTATTTTCTCCCTGCCTCTTGGTTTCCCCTGTGCTCTTCTCATCTCCCCCTTCCCTGCTTGCGTTCACATTGCCAGTTTTTCTGTTCTCATGTTCATTGCAGCCCTGTTTTGTCCTTCCACCCTCAGCAGCTGCCCAGCCAGGTCCCAGAGCCCGGCCCTGTGCTCTATGGGCCAGTGGAGAGCAGCCACCTCACTGCCAGCACTGCCGGCCCCGCAGCCATCGCCCCGAAGCAAGGTTGGTCATCAGATATTTCCTCTGCTGTTATTTTTAGTCCTTTTTCTCCTTTCTTGTTCCAGTTGGAATATTTTTGGCAGGGAGAGAAGCAGGGTGGCATTCAGCAGCAATAGAAGGGGAGGGGCCGTCTCTTCCTCCAGTGGAACGTGGAACAATGTGTTGCTAAGGGAATTAATTGAAATTTGCCTGTGTGAAACTGCTTAACGAAAAATGGTATTAAAGCTTGTATGTCGTGAACATTATTCCAGAGCAGTGAGAACTGTGAAGCTCCTCTCACCCACGTGCCGTCCTTCAGAAACAAACGTACATCAGGAAAGGGCTCTTAGCAGAGAGGCTTGGCATCACTGCTGCCATTCATCAGCCGCAGCAGAGCATCCCAGGGGTGCCCGGAGAGCTCTGGCCTGCGGTGTGGGAGAGAGTAATTAGAAAAACTGTGACTGGGCCGTGGGTCTCGGAAATGGCTCACCAAAAAGAAACCAGGGCACAGATGGAAAAGGTTTCCTGAAGTGATCATGTTTCATTCTTACACCTCAGAATGGGTGTTTGAAGGGGGTCTTCAGCTGTCTGTGTGGAGAGGAGATGTCAGAGGAGGGGAGGTGCTGCGCACCAGGTCCTGCGGTGACACTTTATGGCCATGAAAAGCTTCAGTGAGCAATGTGTGTGGTGCAGGGCTGGCACTGTGTGTAGCAGCACAGCCGGCACTGCTGTTGGCAGCCTTTGGAATTCTTGGACTTTCTCTACAAGACGAGCAGTCCATGCTCTGGGTTCACAGCTGTTGCAGCAGTCCCTGGCTGTCGGGCTGTGCAGGCGTGCAGGGATGCGGGCAGGCAGAGCTGAGGGCTGCAGCACCGCGTGGACAAGCAGTGCTCAGTGCTGTCAGTGCCCAGTGTGTGCAGAGCACTGCAGAGCGCTCCAGTGAGCAGCAGCTCTGCCTCACAAATATCTGTGCTGGGACAAAGGGTGGAAAAATGGCAGTGAGCCCAGCGATTATTTTTGGATAAACAGCGTGGAGCTGGGATGGGTTCCCATGTCCAGCTGGATCTCACCCAGCACCCCACTGCCTCCCTGGGCACACCGAGGGAAGGTAAGCGGGCTGAGTCAGTGTGCATGAGCGGCTCCCATGCTGCTGTTTGGCCTTCCCAGCCATGTGTGGGTCCTTGTCTCTGTGGTCGCTCGCAGATGGGAATCCTCACCGGGATTTGGAGATTTGGTCTCCAAGGGAAGATGTGCTTCTCCTCGGCCAGGTTTGCTCCTGGCTCTGAAATCCTCCTCTGGTTCCATCTCTCCTTGAATTCTGCACAGTCCTCCCTGCATGAGATGCAGGCTGAAGGCTGTTTGTTTGGACCACCGCTCTCCAGATGCAGCTGTATGGCTTTTGCTGTGTTTTTACTTCCCAGAATGTTTTTTCTGGGCTCTTCAAATGTTCGAGTTTTGTTTTGTTTTGTTTTGTTTTGAGCAATCACATTTATCTCTGGGGAGAGAATACCCAGGCAGTGTTTATAGAGAACTGTAAATGTCAGGAATGCTCCACTCTGCAGCCACATTCCAGAATTGGAGGTGACGCATTTTCTTCTCTAAACCAGTTCTGGGTCGTTCCACAGAGCCTTCAGAATCCAAATCCAACCCTCCTGAGCCTTTGGACCACAAACACGTGGCGGCAGTGGTGCTGTTTGGTGGCAGCTGTGCTTCACTCGCTTTTGTTTCTGCTTTCTTTGGAAAAGATATCTCCTCTTGGCTGAAATTTAGAACAAAAATGGGATTATGTCCTTCAGTCTGTTGGAGCTTAGAACTAGCAAGTGCAGAAGAAGCTGAATGTGTCTCACATAGCGGTGATGATGTGATGCATGGCAGGCTTAAAGTGCAGCCTGTCACCAGCCATCAGGCAGCATCCCCTAGCACTGCTGTCCAGAGCTGTGGGTGCCCCATCCATGGAGGTGCCCCAGGCTGTGGATGGGCCTTGGGCAGCCTGAGCTGGTGGGGGCTGCCAGCCCATGGTAGGGGTGGGCTTTCAGGCCCCTTCCAACCTCAGCCATCCCATGGCTGTGACACGATGCGGCGATGCTGGCGGGGATTTTGCAGGCAGCTGGCTGCTCTCAGCGCCCGTTTGCCTGTCAGGACAGGAGCTGCTCAGCTCTTGGCGCTACAGCCCTATATTCCTCTGCAACAGAACCCAGCTCAGGTGCATTTTTGTCTTCTGTGGAGTTTCTGGAGCAGGGGAGTTGGGGCCGGGGGGGCAGCTACAGCAGACTGGTGTTCAGATTGTAACATCGCCTTTTGTTTTCCTTTCCCAGAAGAGAAGCCAAAACCAGACCCAGTATTAAAGCCGTCTTCTCCCGTGCTCCGGGCAGAGCCCACAGCAGAGAAGCAGGACCCGGCCCTGCCGGTGGCTGAGCCCAGCCCTCCGCACAGCCCGCCGGCCCCCGCTGCGGCCCCATCGCCGCCCCCCGCCCCGCTTGCGGCCGCTGCCACCGCCGCTGCTGCTAAACCTTCGCCCACCGCCGACCCCGAGGAGAGATGTGAAGTCGCTTCCCCCAAGGAGGAGGCGATGCCTCTCCCCAGCCTGGACGTGTCGCACCCAGTGCCCACAGAGGAGCCCCGTGGCGAGGCGTGCCAGGAGGCGGGCAGCCCTATGGCACCCGGCGATGTGCCGGTGACTGTGAGCGTGAGCATGAACACCAGTAAGGAACTGAACGGAGTGAGTGAGAGCGTCGCTGCCGCAGAGAGTGGGGCCGACGTGGCTGCAGGGGATGTTGTGCCGCTCGCTGCTGACCCACAGGAACCAGAGGCAGCTCCCGGGGACCTGGGCTCCGTGCCCCCCCCCAGCATCCCCCGTGTAGCCCCATCCCCGCCGCCCGCCCCAGCTCCCAGCCCTCCTTCTCCTCCTGCTGCTCTGACCAGTACAGCCCCTTCCCCACCACCGCCTCTGCCTCCTGGTGCCCCCCCTGCTCAGGGAGATGTGGAGGGAGAGGAAGGCGCAAGGACTGCTCCTAGTGAAGAGCTGACAGATGCTGAGAAGAAGGAGGAGACAGAGGCGGATGGGCAACTGGAGGAGAGCACGGAGGCTCTGAGCTTGAGCTCTAGCAAGAGTCCTGTCCCAGGTAAGTGCTTGGCAGCACGGGGCGTGCAGCAGAGCCGTTGGAAGGGCTCTTTGGGGCTCTTCTGTCTGGTGTTCCCATTTGTATCTGTCTCCGGGAAATCTGATTCTGCCTCATGGCCTTTGCTTTGATTGCAAAATGCTAAGCTCTGTTTGCAGCTACAGAACATCCCTGGGTAATTGTTCATAAAAGTGGTAGCCAGCTTTGCACGCACATCCTGGGGTTGGCGTCTGTTAGCCAAGACATGGGCTTTCACAACTGAGAAAGGAGAATTTCTCAAGTCCTGTAAAGCATCAGCGAAACTCTGAGGTTGGTGCTTCAGGGAGGGTGAAACTCTCCCAGGTCGGGGTTTGTACTCTGCCCATCCTGTCAGCAGAATGTTGTTGTTCAGGTGAAGTGGTAAAGAAAGGAAGACGCTTTTCCTCAGCATCTGCTGGAAACTAAAGGCTTGAGCAGCAAATCCATCTGCTGGAAACTTCAATCACAAAATCAGTTCTGTTTACACTGTTAAATATGCACGTGTGCTTGTGTCAGAATTTAAGTTGATAACACTGGCAACAAATTACGAGCATGTTGGACTAATGGTTTTGTATTTTAATATACTGCATGGTTTCTTTTACCCTTCCGGGGAGAAAGGTAATTAGAGTAAATCACTGCAGACCCTAGAAATATTATATGGTATTTTCTTTGAATCAGTTGTCCGGGGAAATTAATGAGCAGTGGAGCTGTTAACCTGCTTTAAAATCAAAACACAAACCCAGCTCACGAGAACTGGGCTGCTGGAGTGTGAGGTGCTGTGCTGGCGGTGCTGCCGTGGTCGCCCTGTGAGGTTTGTGGGTTGGGTGGTGGTGAGCCGTTGTGATGCAGCTGCTGAGAAATGCCTCACCAGGACGTCACCTCCCAGAACTCTGGTTTCTGATGTTCTCTTTTGCCCTACACGATCCTCACAGTGCTGGTAATAAACTCCTAGCTGTCAGAAGGGCCATTTGGAGCTCCAACAAGCAGTTGTGGAACAATTATCCTGTTTTAATGTCGCTCGGATGATTTTGTTAGCGCTGCTTTGAAATAAAACCTCTGTGAGGCTGCGGCTGCTCCACTGCCCTGCGTGGTTGGCAGCGCAGTGAGGAGGGAAGCGCGTCGCTTGTGTTCTGATGGATGCACGCTTGCCTTGCAGCCTCAACTGCTGTAACTGCACCAAAGACGTGGAAGAAACCAAAAGAGTGGACCCAGGGCACTGAGGAGGTGACAGAGACAGAGGCAGAGGTGAGGGAACACAGCGCTCCTTTCTCTGTATTCACTGATGATGTTGATGTCTTCAAAGGCTGCTTCAGACACGCTGCTTCCTCCGTCTCACAAGGACCCAAGGCAGGCTTTTTGGGAACATTTCCCAAACCTGTGATATTCCCTGGCATCTCTTAGAGCAGTGGCTTTTGGCTGTCCCTGGACCTTGAAGGTCCAAGTTTTCTTCATTCTTGCCTTATTGAACGCCTCTAGCATTCAAGAATGTGGAGCCTTAAATGCTGTCCCAAGGGGAAATGGGTTTGAACCCTTTAAAAGTGCACCATTTGGGGGTCCCAGGGCCACTCTGGTATTTGGGGCATTCTTTTGCTGCACAGTGATGTCATTGTGATGTCATGACCAGAGAATGACTGTGTGATGGAGGAGCTGGGAAGGAAAATAGCTGACATCTGTGCAAAACCGCCTCACCTGTAGTTAGACAAACTGGGAGTGTTGCTTTTGCTGCCATTCTGGTAGGGGTGGTGCATGGAGAGCCTCTTTCTTAAATGTCCTGGGTAAAACTGACAGTAGAACTTAAAGAGCGGGTGAGGGAACTGTAACCATTCAGGATATACACCGTGCTGGTGTGCATGTGAAGAGTGACGCTGGCTGAGCTGCCCCTGCAGGTTCTCTCTGTATGTTCTCCTGTCAGTGCTGGAGGAGTCCCATCTTTGCACTCTTTGATATTTTCACCTGTGCTAAAATGGAACGCCATGCCATTTTAACTTGCAAACCTGCAAAAAGCGTGAAAGGATGCGGTGCATGTAGGTTGGGAGGAGAGATAAGAGCCTCTCCCGGAGCACCTCAGAGTCCTTCTGTTTAATCGCTGCGGTGTCCGTGTGTGAATTCAGAATAGGGCTGTATCCTCAGAGCTCTACAATTAACAGCAGGAGTGTCAGTACATGGTGTGGTCAGCACATGTGTTGCTATGGATCTGCACAGCACGTGCAGGAAGGCTTAGGGTTAGTAGAAGAAGCACACAAAACATGGCTGTTAGGCTGCGTGGGTGAACGGGGAGCCATCTGCAGGTGTTGGGCTCTGCAAGGGCTCTGACAGCACCTCTGTGTTTGTGTCTGCTTCAGCCTAAAGTAGAAGAGGAGCTCTCGAGTGACAAAGTACTTGAATCTGAACAGGATAACATGAGCCACGGGTTTCAGCTGGAGAGAGACCCCTCCGAACTTAAAAAAGTGAAACCTGTGGAAGAGAACGGAGAGCAGGAGGCAGAGCCTGTCCGCAATGGTGCTGAGAGCATGTCGGAGGGAGAGGGGCCCGATGTGACCTTGGGCTGCACAGAGGGCTCTGCTGAAGGGCCTGCACTGCAGTACAAGCCAGGTAAGCATGCTCCGGGCTGCTGCAGGTTGCTTGCCTTCTGCTGGGATTCACAAACCAGTGGGCTCTGAGAAGCTGCACGTAAGCAGGCACGGTTTTTACTAAACGCTGTGAAAGTCCCAACTGGGTGCTGCACAGGAGTGAGTGTGTGTGCAGTTTTAGTCACCTGATCAAACAGGAATTGTAAGAAGGAGAGAAGCAATGCTTGATCGTCAGCCCAGGCTCTGCTGCTGAGCTGTGGTGCAGTTTTTCTGATGAAATACATCGTGCAGGCTCAGAGGGCAGTGGGGGGGCCCCATTCCTGGAGTTGGCCAAGGCTGTGGATGGGCCCAGGGCTGCCTGAGCTGGTGGGGCAGCCAGCCCACAGCAGGGGTGGGGATGGATCACCGCTGAGGTCCCTCCTAACCCAGAGCCATTCTGTGAGTGTGACACTGTGCTCTTGTTGCTGGTCGGTGCTATGTACAGTCTGCCTGGGGGTGTTATTATGGAGACCACTCATAGGCCGGACCCTCGGGAAGTTCACCTTATTAAGAGAGACCTTGAGACCATCTCACTTTACAGTTGCTACCAGTTTCTAAGTTGTTTCTTATTCAAGTGGAGCTTCCTCAAAATAAATGAAGTCATTTGATTAGGAGCCTGGAAATTCTGTGAAACAAATTAGGAGGTCTGCTTGAGGAGAGGCTCCTGCAGGGATCAGGCTGCTGAGAACCCAAAACCACTGATCAAGGAGTGAAATAAAGAAAAAAGATAAAGCTTTAGCAGGAGGTGTGAATGGACAGGCCAAAGCACTGCAGCAGCCTGGCATCCGTGCAGCACAAACGTGGCATCTCCTGCAGATGTGAAGAGTAAAGTGAGGGGACGTGGGCTCCAGGTTGGTTATTAGTTCCACGTGGCGCTGGGCTGGCCGTGTGCCCCCACTTGTTTATGTTCCTTTCATGTGACATATGTTCCTCTCCTCGCTGCCTGGCGGGCTTCAAAATTAAAATTCAAGTCCAACTTCCTGCGCAGCATTTGCTGACTCTCCCCTTCAGATTAAACAGGAACGCGTCTTCGAAAGTGGAGGTTTTGCTCCCTGTGAATCTCAGCAGCTTCTCTCATTATAGAGCAGTGGAAGCCTCTGGACCCGGATGGGAAGAAGCAGTACGACAGGGAGTTCCTGCTGGACTGCCAGTTCATGCCTGCCTGCATCCAGAAGCCAGAAGGGCTGCCTCCCATCAGCGACGTGGTTCTCGACAAGGTGAGAGGAGAGCCCATCAAACAGGTGCGTGCAATCCCTTTGGTTTCGTGGTTTTTCTTACTGAATTCAGATCTTTGATGTATTCTGTCTCGTTCACCTTTTTGGCAAAGACTTCTGTCAGGAAAGGGAAAATCAGGAAGGGCTCGTGTCACATCACAAGATTTGTTGAGTAGTGAATGAGTGCAGACGATTTAAAATCTGAAGCACTGGTTTTCTTAATGGTCTGTGTCCTGGATTAAGTTACACTGAGTAGTTTTAAAATTGAAAGTGCTGTCTTACAGCCATTAAGACCCAAGGATATTAGCAAAGCAAGAGCAAAAGGAGAGCCATTGTCTTTTAAGAGTTCATTTCTGCCGCTAGGAAAGCATAGCCCTGCTTGTGGGCAGGCTGTTTTCATCTGAAGCAATTGTGTTGATACTTATGAGCAGGTCTAATAAACGATGACTAATACCTCGGCTCTCACAAAGCTTTGTGATTGTAAGCCGCCTTGTTACAGATGTGCTTCTCCCTCCTGTACATCTGTGTATTGAAGCACTCCTTATCTGGGTGGGCTGCCTTCAGGAGCCTGCTCCTATCTCTGTTGGAGCTGTGTAGTTTGGTGTGAGCACCACAGGCTCGTTCTTAACATTCGAGCATAGTTCAGGTGTAGGTGATTCTCACGTGTAGAAATGTTTCTACTCTGAATTTCGTGCCCAGACAAATTGTGACACACAGCACTGTTCCCAAAATGATTCCATCCTCCCACTAGTTTTCTGTGCTGGCTTCTCACTGCTCTGTCTGCTCTTGGGCTGCCTGTGCTCAGCCAGCAGTCTCTTGTGTTATCACCACAGAGATTTGTTCGAGGGAAGGTGGCAGCTCTGGGATCCCAAAACAGGACAGCTGCATTCGTTGTGCACAGGACGGGCCTGTGCTGGCATGGTTTTATCCTCCTTAAATGATATTCAGCTTTGAAACGTTTCTGAGCATCACATATTTCCACAGTTGCCATCTGTGGAAGGCATTAAGTGCGCCTTTAGTGTAATGGGAGTGCATAAAACTTGCCTGGTTTGTGAAAAGCGTCATTTGGATGTTAAGTATGAATGTTATGGTTTAGCAGAGACTGTAGAGCTGCGATAGCTGCAGCGCCCACTGACGAGGCCGTGTTTGTCTGCTCTGCTCTGCAACGCAGGTCAACCAGCCCAAATTGCCACTGAGGACCCTGGACCCTCGGATACTGCCTCGAGGCCCAGACTTCACACCAGCCTTTGCTGATTTTGGGAGGCAGCCTTCCGGTGGAAGAAACGTATCTGGAAGTGTGAGTTTTCCCCAGCTTGCTAATTTAACAACTGATCTTGGCGCTCATGGAGTCCTTCCTCACGTGTTTGGGCATTTTCCAGTATTCCGATGGTTCTGGTTTTGTCTGGCTTGAGTGCAAGGGAGATATTTTCTTGGCTGTCAGAGTTTAGGAAAACAGGCAAAGCACTGTGGATGTTTTTAATTGGTATGTGTTGCACTTAACATGGACTTGATCTCTTCCTTCCTCTTTTCCTTCTTGAGAATGTGGAAATGTATTTCCATGCTGTGGATTTGTCAGTCCATGTGTGCAGGCGTCCGTATCTCATACAACAACATGTTGGCATACTTTGGTCGCTTCATTCCTCATTTTTCTGCCTTTTCCTCTGCTTTCCTTCCACATTCTCTTCTTTGCCCTTTGCCTGGCTTTGCCCAAGCCCTTCACCCTGCTTCTGAATTCCTCCTTTCTGTCTGTGCTGTGCTGTGTTATTCTAGGAGCTGCAGCCGGGTCGGAGCTGCCTCATGTGTCATCACTCATCTTCCATCTCTCTCTCTAAATACATTCAGGTTGTCTGCCTGGTTGCATCTAGTCGTGTATCCATCTCTTACCGTTCAGAACCGCTGGTTCCAAAGACCTTCACTAAATAACTTTGACTTCTGAGTGTGCAGATTTCCAGATTTCGGAGCCGAGCCCGGCGGTGGTGCTGCAGACTTTGAGTTGCTGTAATGTTTCTGGTTGGGGAGCAGTCTTTGGCTGGTTCCTCGGTGCTGGGCACACGTCCTTGTCTTCAAGTAGCTTCGCTGTCGCGGTTTGTCTCGGAGCGCGGCGCGGTCCTGAGGCGGTGCTGCTCTTTGAGGTCGCCATCGCTTGCCATGCTCAGAGATGCTGCAGTGGGCTGCAGGTTGTGCCCGGCGCAGTCGGTCCTTCGTGTGGCACCTCAGTGACACCGCTGTTGCTCTTTCTCTTTTCACAGGCCTGCAAAGTGCAGAGCGGCCCTGGATTGCCGTCCCTGGCTCGGTGCGGTTCCCCAGCATGCCCTCTCTTGGTCTCGCCTCACCCACCATTGAGGAACCTGCCAATAGGGGTAAGCCACATCCCCCCTTCCTTCCCCATCTTTGCACCTTTTTGTAGAGTTTGTTTTTTTCCGTATCGCCCGCTGTTGATAATGAACCACCGGCAGAAAGCTTTACAAAAAGGTGCAACATTGTTTTAAAAGAACAAAAAGAAAAAAAAAAAAAGAAACAAGACTTGCATTGTACCCCTCTAGGCAGTCTTCAGTGGTGGGTGGGACAGCACCAGCTGAGGGCATGCTGGGACGTTGGCCTGAGCGGGATCCACGAGGGGTCTGCACTTTGCAGACCTATGGAAAGGGGGAGAAAAGGTAAGTGCTGCTTGCCCCGTTCATTTGGAGCATCCCGCACATAACATACATCCTACATCTGCGCCTCGAAGGGCAGTGCCTCTCTTTGCATCTTCCCCAGGGGGGCCGGAAGGGGACGTTGCTTAACGAGCGGCTGTCCTGCGGTGTTGGTGTGCAGGATGAGCGCTTCTTGGCCCATGCAGAGGCAGCCGTTGCCTCGTGGCGCATGGCAAAGCCCGCGTGCACGCTGTCTGCTCAGCCATTCAGCCTCCGCAGAGGCCATGCTCATAACGCCATCCCAGCCCACCGCCTGCTCCTTGCCCTCGAAATAACATCGAGCAGCTCCGTGCTAACAAGCTTACGGCACGTGGAAATCTTTTATTTTGCTTCCCTGGCTTTGTCTTTCCCCTTCTTTTCCTTTAAATGTTTTGTGTGACTGTTTTCAGACCGTAATCAGTTCAGATGGGATCAGGAGTGCCGTCACACAGGAACAAAACACTTGTTATTGCTGTAGGGAAGAAGGTAGAGGTAGAGCCGCGTGCCGTGGGGGAGGAGCGCTCGGTCCCTCGGCTGTGCTCATCCCCACTGGTGGTCTGGGCTCCCCAGGGTGCTGCTGCTGGGAAGCTGCATTGCTGGGCTCTGTGCCTCTCGGGAGGGCGGCTGTTCCTGGCTCACACCTGTGCCCAAGGGAGCAGCAGCTCCATGGTTTCTTGGATGCTGTTGCACCAGGACCACGGATGGAGAGTAGGAGGTGTGAGGCTTTGGCTGCTCAGCAGGACTTGTGTCCGTGCCTCTGTCTGCTCTCCTTTTTGCCCCCGTTTATCTGGAGGGACGGGTAACGTAGGTTAATAGGCAGATCTGCTAAGTGCTTCTCCGTGCCTTTAGCAGAAAATGTGAGTGCAGCACAAGTGCTGCAATCAGAGGTGTTACGGATCTGTTATTATCTATGGGGACTGGGCTGTAACAGGAGGCCAGCCATGAGCTCGGTGCCTCTTCCACATGCTGCTTTGTAAATTTGCAACAAAAAATAGACAGCTCTTCCTGTTCACAGTTTGTGATTTGTATATTTCATCTCACATTCAAAGGAGGCCTCTGTTCACTTTTAAAACTTAATCCAACACTCAGCTAGTTTGTCTCACTTATTAAAAAAAATAAAATCTTAAAGCCTTTGTTTTATTAATGCCTGTAGAGGTCTGGTGTCAGAGGCAGGCAGATTGGAGAGAGCTGTGAGGGCAGCTTGCATGTCCTCCTGCTCCACACTGACATTCTGCAAGGTGCACCGTCAGTTTGAAAGATGTGATCAGTGCCTGCAGGGCAGCTGCGTGCTCAGGAGCTGCACCCTGTGGCTCAGTGGTCCCTCGGGCCAGGGGCACCTCAGTGGGAGAGACATGGGACAGCCACCACTTGTCTCTCTTTTGGGGCAGAGATTGGCCCAAGCCTTCGTGCTTCCAGGGCATGCGGCCAGCCGGAGCCTTCTGTGGCCACAGAGGTGTGTAATGAGGTCTGGTGCGTCCGGCTGGCGGCGGCTGCTCGTCTGTTGCTTTTCTTGTCTGGTTTTTGGATGGGAAGGGAGCTTCCTTGCTCCATTGCCGCCCTTCATGGGCGTTTGTTTGGGCAGCGCCCGTGGCTGCAGGTGGCACCAAGCGGTGCAGGCACAGAGCTGTGCCTCTGCTGAGGGTGGGTGGGCATGGCAGGGGCTACAGGAACGACCCGAGGCTGCTTTCTGCCTGACTCCAAAGGGAGCCGTGCTGCGTCGTTGTACTGCTGTTGTCTTGGGAGCTTGGTTTCTTGTATGGCTTTGTTCCAATCATGGTGTGCACCCAGGAAGCATAGAGCCCCATGTCTGTGTAGTGCAGAGACCTGGGCACATGCAGCCTTCTTCCATCCACGCCTACAGAGCGTGTCCCAGCACCAGGCCGTCGCCTTCCGACAGCTCACCATGTGCTCACATCCACCTCGCCGAGCTGCGCGGGTCAAATCACAGATAGAAGTTAGCAGAGGGTGGGTTTCTTATGTTCAATTGTGCAAAAGTGAGTCCGGGGCCATTCTATGGCATGTGAGGCAACCTCTGAGGTCACTTCCCATGTGCATTCAGTGCAGCTGTTAGAATAACGGAGGTGGTTGGGCCTCTGCGGCACTGGTTCTGTGGCTTTGCTGAACAAAGACGTGCTTTAATGGTTTGCATGGAGTTTCCTGCTGGCCACTGAAGAGATTAATTACTTCTGTTGTAAAGAATGGGTTTTGATAATGGAATTTTACTGCGCTAATTTTTACATCGAGTTAAGAGGTTTCTAATAAATGAGTTTGGAAACGCAAGCACCGCAGGGAAAAAAATGACCTCAGTGCCACTTGTGATGTGTTCAGTCCTTACCAGTTCCCAGGCAATGGGTGGGCAGTTTGTGGGCACAGCTGGTGGAACCTCCCCAGTGCTGGCGGCTCTCACACCAATGCGGGGATGGGCGGCGCGTGTCTCTTTCTCCTGTGAGCTGCAGAGCTCAATCCAGAGCTGCTAGGATTCGTGTTTCCGCAGTGCAGGAGCAGCACCAATGCTCTGTTCATTGCGTTTCATGTCCCAAAATGGCTCTGTTGTCTGAAACAAGCTCCACTAAGACTTAGTGTTTTGGCAGAGCTGCTGATTAATCACTGCCTAATTGCTTGGGATGACATGTTTGAAACGCTCTGGTAAGGATGCACCTGATCCTTCAGTACCTGTTTGCAGTGATACTTCACTGATAAGGTTTCTGCTTTCCACGGGGCTGGGCTCAGTCCCACAGCGCCTGTGTAGCATCTGGGTGCAGCTGAGGTGCAGAGTGTTGGCCCCATCTGTTTTGGGAAGGGCTGCTGAGAGATGTGCTGGGTGCACACGTGGCCCCTGCCAGCAGCTGCAGCGCTGCGTGGTGCGGAGGGAGCCCTGAGCATCCCAGGCCGTGCTGGTGACTGACCTGCTGCCTTCAGCATGCTGCTCTGCGCCCTGGAGTGCTCTCAAGGCACGTGTTTAAAAGGGGATACAACAAGGAATGTTTTTGTCCTAGTTGTTGAATGTTGGACCGAGGAGATCTCAGCCGGGCCAGAGGAGGGAGCCCAGGAAGATTATCACGGTGTGTGTGAAGGAGGATGTTCACCTGAAGAAGGCAGAGAACGCCTGGAAGCCGAGCCTGAAGAGGGAGAACCAAACTGAGGACCCTGAAAATGTCAAAACCCAGGTGAGAACGTAGGCAGCGCTGCTCCGAGCATGGCTGTCTGTAACCAAGGAAAGAGGTAGTTTGCCTTGGCTGTTGTTTAAGGGCAGTGAATTCCACTCTGAATTGCAGCTTTCCTCTGCCTTAATCTTTTTTTTCATGTTTTTATTCTTAGAGTTTAAATGGCAAACCTGTACGTGGAGAGCTTAAATTGTGAACACCAGACAACCTACTACCTCTCACCCAGGGTTGTTTTTCTAATGCTGTCAGATGTTTCTGACTCCATTCTAAAGCAAACAGGCTCAGACTTCCAGCACAGAACTTGCTTTTCATCCCCTTTTAGACTGCATTTCTGTACCAAGCGTCAGCCACACTGAGCTTCCTCTGTGGTAATCCCCCAGCTCATGCTGCCCAGCTCAGCCACACTTTCTCTGAAGCTTTCTCTGTGTCCCTCTCTCCCTCCTTCCCTCCATGGGGCAGCCACTGTAGGGGAGGTATTTGCCTGGCGGTAAAGCTTCTAATTCCTAGGATAAGTGGAGATAGTCGTGGAGGACACTGGGATTCTGTCCTCGGGGTTAACAGGAGCTTTGTTGACCTAATTACTGTCAGGACAGTTTTTTCCTTAGTGTCTCAAATACAGAAAAAGTTGATTGCTTCTGGATGAGGGCGGAGGTAACCGCTCCCTGTTACTTGATGTTTTGTAGCTGAATTGATAACGAAGTTGAGTGACAGCAGGGTTTTGTGCCTATGTTGTGCTTGAAAATAAAGTGCTTAGATGTTCCCAGAACCCCTGCACTGCAGCCAGGAGCTGTGACAGCCGATAGCTGGCTTAGGGCTGGAGCTGAAACGCACGGCGAGGAGTGTTGGGACGTACCTCAACATTCTAAAATCCTGCAGCACCTCTTCTCTGTTCTCCTCCAAAATGCATCCTGGCTCATTCCTGAAAGCCACCGTGTGCCTGTTTGGTTGGTGCTGCTCCTCAAGGCTTGTCTGTTGTTTAGGAGCTGTTCCGCAAGGTACGAAGCATCTTAAACAAGCTGACTCCCCAGATGTTCAATCAGCTTATGAAGCAAGTCACAGACCTGACGGTAGATACTGAAGAGAGGCTAAAAGGAGTCATCGACCTGGTCTTTGAGAAGGCTATTGATGAGCCGAGCTTCTCCGTGGCGTATGCAAACATGTGCAGGTGCCTCGTGACGGTAAGAGCTGCCCAAGGCCAGTGGGAATCATTCCTTGGGGAGAGCGCTCTGCGCCTTTTCCCCACGCACTGCTGGGCAGTAATAGAAGCATGGCAAGAGCAGATTGAATGTTAATTTGTGAACTTAAAGAATTTACATTGCGGGTTTCTTCCTCTGTTCATTGGCCATGCTTTGCTTGAAGTGGAGAGGACACCAAGCATTTTGCTGTGCCTGGCTGTGAGATGCTATGAATCACGTTTAGAAAAGTCTGTTTTCTCCCTCTCATTTGGAGAGGTGCAGAGCCAAGCTAGCTTTCAGATGCTGACTGTGGGACAAACAGCTCGTCCGCCCCCCGCGATGATTTTCATGGCGTGTCATGAAGGAGCATGGCCCCAAGGTCTTCGGTGTGCAATAGCAGTGCTTTTAAGCAGTGAGACTTTTTGAAGGATTTAGTGAATGGAAATGTAATCTGTCTCCAGGCAGAGGTGGAGTCAGCCAAATTTTGAGTGTGACTTTCCACATGGAATCTGAAACTGCTGAAAATCATGGCGTGGTGCTTAATGGTCACAGCCGTGCAAAGTTGCTCTGCCGAATACGAAGCCCATAATAAAATGTGATGGGTGGCTTGTGGCAGATCTCATTTGTGTGTGGACTTTACCTGTATTTCTGCTGATTTTTGCTTCCTCTTCCTGCAGCTGAAAGTGCCCATGGCAGACAAACCTGGGAGCACAGTGAATTTCCGCAAGTTGCTGTTAAATCGCTGCCAGAAGGAATTTGAAAAGGACAAGGCTGACGACGATGTCTTTGAAAAGAAACAGAAAGAGCTTGAAGCTGCTACCACTGTACGTGGAGTATTTCCCCACAGACACTCAGGAGAGCCCTCAGAAAAGGATCTCTTTTGAAGGCTGCGGCCAATTTGGGGGAAATATCAGAGTAGTTTCACTGTTGCTGTAGCTGAATGTAATAAATATTTGCCTCGATGAGTGTTTAGAGCAGCTGCTTTTTGGCTGTTAGGAGAAAAAGAGTAAACAGGAGCAACAGCAACTGTGAATGTAAAACTGGCTCTTTTGAAGAGTCCTGTGGTCTTTGAACATGCTTTTTAGAGCTGTTTTTGTGTTTTACAGCCAGAGGAGAAGACCCGGCTCCACGACGAGCTGGAAGAGGCCAAGGACAAAGCGCGGCGGAGATCCATTGGGAATATAAAATTCATCGGCGAGCTTTTCAAACTGAAAATGCTGACGGAAGCGATCATGCATGACTGTGTGGTAAAGCTGCTAAAAAACCACGATGAGGAGTCCCTCGAGTGCCTTTGCCGCTTGCTGACTACCATTGGCAAGGACTTGGACTTTGAGAAAGCAAAGGTAGGGCAGGGCCAGGAGCAAGAGATGAGGCTGTATGGGCAGGGGTGGAAAAAATGGGTGTGGGGTGTTTTTGTTCAAGGGTCTTTTTTTCCTCTGGGTTTTTTTTGTACGGCACGAGGAGATCATCTGCTCCTCTGTGCACGTTTCGTCACCGCCTGGCCTTGCTGCTGCTTCCTGCCCCTGGCTCATAGATTCTGTGCCATTTGCAAAGCTCATTTCCAGTTGCAACTTGTTCCCAAGCATTTAATCCAAGTTCACATTCTTAAAGTGCTCAGTGTGTGCTGTGGGTTCCTAAAACATTGTTGTTTCTGAAACATGAAACTGGTCTCATTTCCATGGAGGGTTTATAGAAATCTACCATTAAATGTATTGTTTTGGGTTGCATTTAAAAAAAACCCTTGCGAGCTGCCCAAACCCCCAGACCTGAAACTTGGCAGGTGCGTTCATTCTGTGTCCTCATCTCCAGCTGTGCTGAAATGAAGCGGCTGTTTTGCAACTACACTGCTCCAGTGTCCTCCTGCTGACTCTCCAGCAAATGTATGTGTAACTGGGAGCATCGTGCACTCCGTGAGCTCTTATTGGCACAGGCATCTGCTTCTCCTTTGCTAAAGTTTGGGATGAAAAAGCACTGAAGGCTTTTGCCAGAAATCAGTCAGACTCAGCCCTGGAAATGAACAGAGCTAATTGCTTTCAGCTGCTCTGCAGAGGGAGGAATGCTCTTACAGTGAGATTGCAGGGATCGCAGCGAGTCAGTCCTGATCCTCACAGGGACTCCTTGGAGAAGCAGTTTCCCAAACTGCCGTGTGGGGCATGGCCTGAAGTTGTGTAGTTTGCTGCTCATCCCCCAGACTGAATACCCTGCATCATGAAATCGTGTGTGCGCTGTTGGTGCAGCTTTGAAAGGGCCAAAAAGAGAGATTTAAAACTCCACGTGCTTTGGGAAAAAAACAGGGTCTGACTTCTGAGCAGAAGCTGAGGTCATGCTGAATGAATCCTGGACACTCTTTCAGCCTTTGTTAGCATGGAAATGGCGTCACGGCGGCCTCGGTGTGCAGCCCCTGCGTCCTGTCCTTGTGGTTGTTCTTCCTACAGGATTGAGTGAGAATTCTAGTACTCACATTCTAGTTTATGTAGGTGTGAGGAAAAGGACTTAGCAGGTTCTTAACGAGGGGAAGGAGAAACATTTTATAAAACTGCCAGGCCAAATCTAGACCTAGTGAAGGCTTTGCAGTGACACCACTTTGTTTTAGTGAAGATTTGGCTTCTTTGCTTCATGACTTTCTGAAGGAAGAGCCATAAGATGGAATGTATGGTATGATGTTGGATTTGGAACTACAGTTCCGCCTGTGAAACAGCTTCATGTTGTGCATCTGCTCCCTCTTTTGCCTTCTGACCCAGACTGGGACAGGTTGGGGAGGTGAAGCAGCAGAACAGTGCAGGAGTTTTGTGCCCAAGCGCACCCCAAGAAGGCCAGGTCCCAGCTGTGCTGCTGGCACAGAGGTGCTGCAATCCAGAACCCACTGCCTCCCCACAGAGGGAGTGTTTTTATTTTCTTCCAGAATACACTGATGATGTTTCTCTTGTGTAGCCTCGCATGGACCAGTATTTTAATCAGATGGAGAAGATTGTGAAAGAGAGGAAAACGTCTTCAAGGATTCGGTTCATGCTGCAGGATGTGATAGACCTAAGGCTGGTAGGTACCAACCCAGCAAGTAACAGAGCACGTTCCCTTCCTGGCACTGCCCTCACAGGAGGTCAGGCAGTGCAGTATTGACAGGGTGAGATCTGGACCCCTTGTCATTCGGAAGTTTGGCAATGAGGATTTTCTTTTTTTGTCTCACTAAAGGGCAGGGCTGGCAGACAGCTGTGCTGCTTTACTAATGCTGGCTGTTCTGGTTCAGCTAACTAAGCTGCAGAAATGGCAAACTGGAGACCACTTGGTGAGGCGCGGTGTGAGCAGAGGATCTGCCCCCTTGCATTCAAGTGAGGGTTTTGAACAGAGCCCAAGTGTTAGACTGGGGCTCTCAGCAAAGAGGGCTTCTCAGCATAGGGTTCCTACAGCAGGTTGCTCAGGAGGGCATCCAGGTGAGTCTTGAATATCTTCAGAGAAGGAGATTCCACCACCTCTATGGGCAGCCTGTTCCAGGACTCTGTCACTTCTGTATGTTCATATTTTTTCCTTAGCCTTGGAGGAGGGGCTCCAATGAATGCTGCCAGTAGTAAGAGCAGAACCACAGCACCCTTCCTCTAGCCCATCTCTTTCTCTTCACATAGAAAGACTGGAAAACTGGAAATGTTCAAGGTGCTAGGGGTTAAAATGTATGGAATTCAGTCGTGCCTCCTCACAGTCAGGTCTTCACTGCAGCCTTCAACCCTATAGATACGTTACAGCCAATGTGCTGAAGCGTGCAGTTCTACCTTGGTGCTGGGATAGCCATGTCAGCAGCATGACCCAACTGCAATCTCTTGCAGCTCAGCCTCACTGACACAGCACAAGGTTTAGGGAGCTTTAGGCCTCCTTCAGTGTGCTCAAAGTAACCCATTTATGATGCTCCGCTCCAAGAAATGTCACGAGCACCTTTGTTTCTCTCTCAGTGCAACTGGGTTTCACGGAGAGCAGACCAAGGCCCGAAGACCATTGAGCAGATTCATAAAGAAGCCAAGATAGAAGAGCAGGAAGAACAGAGGAAGGTCCAACAACTCATGACCAAAGAGAAGAGGAGACCAGGTAAAATGAAAGTCAGGTTTCTCTCTTCAGTCATTTCAGATCCAGTGACCATGGTCAGAATCCTGTAGGAGTCTTTTTTTTGCCAAAATGCAAAGAGCAAAGGGATTTGGGGCCATGTCATGGCTGGGGCTGGAAGAGGAGCAGGTGCACCATGGATTGGCCATGTTTTGCTCAACTCCCTTGGTGAAAGATAAACATTGCAGGCTAATAGTGCTTGGGTTTCATGTTCATGCAAGCCATACCTGAAATCTGTGCTAACAGCTTCCTATCCAGGAGCCAGATTTGCCGTCCATTTTTGTTTTCAGCAGCATTTAATTTCAAGAGAACAGCATCGGATTTCAAGAGTAACCATGTTGTCTTTCGCAGTTAAAGTTGTGAGGTGTTAACTCTGCGTGAGAAAGTGTTCTAGCATCACCTTCAATGGCTACCAGCCCTCGGAGTTGACACTACCTGAAGATGAATGTAAAGTAACTGATGCTTTTAGAGGCACAGGACCAGAGCAGGCAAACCTGCTTGGTTTCTGAGGCATTGTGGTACCTCTGTGAAAACAGAGCATGAAGAAAATGCACACAGACTTTGTTTCCATTAGCCTGAAATTGTTGTCTGTAGAAGGTAGGGAACTGTTGGAATGGTTCTGCACTTCAACTGTCTCTGGCACTGCTGAAATCTGTGCAATGAGTGCAGGCTTTGGTTAGCCACGGCATGTCTTCTCTCCTTTGTTGAGCTTGTTAACACACAGTATGTGCAGCTGTACTGAAGCAGAATGAGAGCAAACTGAGAAATTGTTCTGTAAACAGGAACCTGACTTGAAAAATACTCTTTTGTTGTTTTTTTTTTTTAAAAAAATGTTAAGACTGTTTTTTAACAGTAGCGAGGCAGATTTAGATGTCATGTTAATCCAGAGGGATGTTCTGAAGGAGGTGATTTCTGCACAGAACTGCAGTCAGGCTCAGCAGAAACGTGCCATCTTCTTTATCTCCTCCTCCTGAACTGGGAGATGATCACCCACCGTCCCTTGGGGCACCATGGGGCCAGAGACGAGCTGAAGGCGGGGTGTTTGTTGTCTGCAGGTGTCCAGCGAGTGGATGAAGGCGGATGGAACACTGTGCAGGGGACAAAGAACAGCAGAGTGCTGGACCCTACCAAGTTCCTTAAAATCACCAAGGTGGGTGACAGCATGGGGCTCATTCAGAGCAACAAGGTGCCAAGTCTCACCTGGTTGCATCTGTCTGTCTCACCAAGCAGAATTCTGACATAAGTGGGCATTTCCCAGATGTTCCTGTGCTCTGTGCCTGAGTTTTGCTCTCAGTGTCCAGATATTCAGAGAACAGCAAAGCAGAACCTGACAGACTGCAGTCGTTCTGCAGATGAAGCTCAGTTTGTTTCTTGTGGAAGTCATAAAACAACCTTCAGAACTTAATTCACGAGAGAGATTCAGCCCGCTTTTGTCTGGGCTTACAGCTCACCTGGGAAAAGTCCTTTTGCTCTGTTTAATGCAAGTGCAGTACAAATAGACCAAGGTCCACAGCTGCTGCATTGTTGGAAGGTGCAAAGAGTTTGCACAAAGAGAACTTCAGGATCACAACCTCTCATCAGTAAGTTCACCTACTGAGCACTGTAAAATCAATGTTCTCGTCAAACTCTGCTGTTCCCTCCAAATTCTACAGCCCCTTACCCTTTGAATCCTATTACTGTGCAGATTCACCCCAGGGCCATTGCTGGTACATGGAGTGGACTGTAGAGCAGTTTTACTTGTCGTAACAAACCAAATGTTTCCCAGAACTGATATATGGTACTTTTTCCTCCTTGAGGAATTAAGTAATTTTTAATGAAATAAAGCTCGTGGTCATGATGAATGTCTTTCACTGACACTTTGGATGAGGCTGCTTGTAGTGACCTTTGTTGGTTGCGTCCTCTGTTCTTGGCTAGAGATGAGTCTTCCAAAATTTAAGTGCGCTAGTATTCACAAGGTGGACACTTTCACCACAACGTAAATACTCCGTTTTATAAAGAAGCAAATTGTTCCCCTGTAACCATATGTCCTGATGTGTTTTTTTTACAGCCCACAATAGATGAGAAGATTCAGCTTGTGCCTAAAGCCCAGTTGGGCAGCTGGGGAAAGGGCAGCAGTGGTGGAGCAAAGGCAAGCGAGATGGGTAAGCAGGGACACATCCTCACCCTCTGCGTTGCTACCAGCTGTCAGAGAACACCTTCAGATTCACAGAATGGTTGGGTTGAAGGGGAACTTAAAGATCATCTAGTTCCAACCCCTGCCATGGGCTGCCTGCACCCCACCAGCTCAGGCTGCCCAGGGCCCCATCCCACTTGGCCTTGTGCACCTCCAAGGATGGGGCATGCATACTGCTATGGGCAGCAGTGCCAGGGCCTCACCGCCCTCTGAGTGGAGAATTTCCCCCTGACATCTGACCTAAATCCCCCCTCTTTTATTTGCAAACTTTCTCCCTTGTCCTGTCGTCATTCTTGCCAGGAGCAAATTTGGTGGGAGCAGACAAAAGCACTCCCTGCACTGTGGTGTATTGCAGTGCACATGACCGTGAACCCCCTCAGGAGGACCGTCCATGGTTTGAAGTGGGATTCAGATGTCATAGAATCTTAGTATCATAGAATCACCAAGATTGGAAAAGACCTCCAAGATCATACAGTCCAACCACGCACCTCCCACCAGTATTTTACCACTAAACCGTCCCTCACTGTGACATCTAAACATTTTTTGAGTATTTCTGAAACGCTTCCAGGGATGGTGCTTCAGCTGCCTCCCAGCAGCCCATCCCAGCACCTCTCCACTCCTTCACAGAGGATTTTTTCCTGACGTCCAACTTGAACATCGCCTGGTGTAACTCGAGGCCATTGCCTCTCATCCTGTCACTAATTAGGTGAGAGCAGATGCCGACCCCACCTCACCACAAGCTCCTTTCTGGAGTTGTAGAGAGTGATGAGATTCCCCTGAGCCTCCTCTTCTCCAGACTCACCCATCCCAGCTCCCGCTCCCCACAGGGCTGTGCATCGCATCCCTCACCGCTCCATTCCCTCAGCTGCAGTACTGGCTGTGACCGGCTGCCAGCTGGATGTGACTCCGTTCACCACCACTCCCCGTGCCCTCAGACAGTTCTTTACCAGCAAGGAGTGCACCTGTCCCAGCCGTGGGCTGCAGCTTCCCCAGCACAGTGCTGTGGGTGGCAGTCGGGAGCTTTGCTGAACTCTAGGTAGACTTCATCAGCAGCCTTTCTCTCCTCTACCAGGCGGGTCACTGCACCGCAGGAGGTTGCTCAGGCAGGACCTGCCTCCCCAAACCCACATTGTGCAGCTCAGTCCCCCAGCTGTCCCACAAGTGCCGTGTGACCTCCCTCAAGATAACTATTGAGCTCTGAAGAGGAAAACTGCAGGAGGTGCTGCAGTCGGGTCTGATGCTGAATGATGCAAGGGAGGTGTTCACAGGGACTCTGAGCTGACACAGCTCAGGGCGTCGTGCTGATCCTGTCACAACAGGAGTTTCTTGCAGCCTCTCCTCTCGTGCAGCTGCAGAGCCGGGGAGAAACTGGTGACATAGTGGGTTAGCACCTGTGCCCCTCTGAGTGCACAGTGCTGCTTGTGGCAGACAGCACAACCTCCTTGCTTCTCACCCTGAGAGAGGAGTCTCTCCTATGGCTTTATTTATTTGTTTCTTTAGGGTGGGAGTGTTGATTTGGGGTGTTTTCTAAACAATCAGATGGAGAAGGCTCCACCAGCACTATGAGCAGTAAGCAGCTGTGTCCCTCTGCTTTGCCTCCAAAGGCAAAGGATGAGTGGAGCAGGAGCAGCCTTTTCCCACTGATTCCCTCCCCATCACTCTGAAAACAGCAACTGCTTAAATGCCTGTGTGATGTGAGGTGTTGGCAGCTACTGACCTTGCCGTTCCTCTTCTCTGTGTTGTCTTTGTGGTCTCCCAGACTCCCTACGACCAAGTGCCACTAGTTTGAACAGATTTTCTGCACTGCAGCCTCCAGTCTCATCTGTATCTGCCTCATCTGCATCCTCAGAACTAGATTCTCGCAGGGCCTTAACAAGGTAAGGTTTGCCCTGCCAGTGAGTTTTCCCTTCTGCTCTCTGTATGCTTGCTCTTTCACTTGCTGCTCTAGTTTCTGGAAGAATGAAAACAATGAGAATTTCATGGAGCTTCCAGGAACAGCAGGATCATTTTTCCCCATGTGTACTTTGAGCTGACTTAAAATGCATCTTTCATAGTATTATATGAGAGGCAAGTGGTATTCAATTTTAAAGGCATTATGAATGTTTCAGCTTCCATTTTGCAGTCAGCCTTTCTAAAGGACACCGTGTGAGCGCTTCGCAACGCATTCAGGGATGTTCAGATGAAAACAGGAGTTGAACGCAGTGCTCATGTGTTCAGCCAGGTCACCGGATTTGTTGATCCAACAAACGTGCTTGAAGCCCTGCCCAAATGTGGCAAGGCTCTTAGAGCTCTCTGGCTGTCCCTGGCCCCTTCCCATGTGACCAGGCCTCTGCCTCATGCATCCACGAGGCCATGCAGTTCTCACACACCTGATCGCACCAGGACTGCAGCCACTCCAGCCTGTAGCATGGAATATGAATTAATCCTTAGTAATTTGCTTCCTTGGGACACACTTTGTAAATGTGTGGAGTCATTAGTTCTTCCTTGCAGTACACACCAGCTAGCATGCTGTTGTATTGATTCCTTGCTCGCATTCCCTCCTCCGTCACATGCAGCTCTCATCACCTGGAGGCTGTTCCATTTTGGCTCTGTTTGAGGTTCTTTTTCAATAAATGGGTAGAAATGCACCACTGCCTTACAGTGAAACAGTGCCTTTACATCACAGACTTCACCACTGCACATTTTAAATGGGTGCTGTAATGACTTCAGTCATTACATTCACGCTTTTCTGCGTGTTCTCTGGCTCTGCCTGCCCGCTCCATGTGCTGGTTGTGTTTGTGTGTCTCTGAGACTTGTGATTATAATCAGTGGAGCTACAGCTGTGAGAAGTTGAGACAGCAGTCCTGCTGGGCTGAGGATCTGTCATTACCAGGACTGCGAGCTGGGGTTACTCTTACTGTGCTTTCAAGTGCATGTGGTTTTGTTCTGCAGTCGCGGGAGCACAGGCAGGGAGAAGAACGATAAACCTCTCCCACCTTCCCTGTCCCGCCCCAACACCTTCCTCCGGGGCAGCAGCAGTAAGGAGCTGCTGCTCGACAATCAGGCACAGGAGGAGCAGAGGAGAGAGATGCTGGAGACGGTGAAGCAGCTGACAGGCGGCATGGAGATGGACAGGAACAGCGCAGAGGCAGAGAGGAGCAAAGCCAAGGAGTCTGGTAAGCAGCTTTTCCGTACTCAGGGAACCTTGCTGGATGCATGGAAAGGCTCACCGGAGAATTCATAGGTAGAAGGGACAGGGGTCTGTGCTGTGGTGTGAATATTTGGCCCACAGAGACGTGCTGTCGAGCTGTGATAGCTGAGAACCTCCCAGAGGTTTGTAACACAACTGGTATCTACAGGTTTTAGTGTCGTCTTCTGCCACCAGCTCCTCTTTGTGTTTCCTCGGAGCGGAAGGCTGCAGGGAGCAACAAAGCGTGAGCACGTGGCGTTGTCCTTCCTGCTGGTGTCCTGTTGCTGTTGCCACCTGTTCCTGGGAGACAGGTCCCCAAAATCAGCATCAAGGAGCATCTCAGTGTATCTTGTCTCCTGTGATTGGGCGCATTGGCAAAGCTCGAGCAGAATCAGCGTATGGCGCGTTGTGTGCTTGGAGGGACCTCTTTTTTTGCCTTGGCGTTGGTTGGTTGTTCATCCCCAGCCGGTTACAGAATTGGCACAACTGGAGGATGTAACCAAGCACAGGTCCAGCCCACAGGCATTCCCTTGGGTGTGGGCTTCTCTCCAGGCCGGAGCAGAGGAGGGAACTGGTTGTTCCCAAGGCAGAATCCCCAGATGGAGCTTTTAGCTCTGCTCATTGCCAGCCCTGGTTCCACGCAGGGCCCAGTGCAGCGTGGTGTTAGCACCACCGGGTCGACCTGTCGCTGTGTCAGAGCTGCAGCTCCCACTTTTGGATCTTGATTTGCTAGCGAGGATGTATTGAGGACATTTAAGACAGCATTCCCTGTGGATATAGCTTTTGCAATAAGTTATGGAAAAGTAAGTACTGGGTTTTGCTTCTTGCATGCAAAGCATCCAGAAACTGCTATTGCAGTAGGAATTGCGAGGAGTACATCTTTGCCCCCGCAGCACCACACACACCCCGCTCTGGAAGGTCTGAGGGTTTGTGGGTGTTACTCACAGTATGTTTTGAAGGTACAGCATACCCTCAGAACTGCTGTAACAGCTCAAAGTTTAATTATTTAATGCAGGTAGAGAGTGCTTTGGGGTGCTGCGTCCCACATCACTACATATTTTCCTTGCAGAAAGGTAGAGGGGAGAATGTAACCAAGGAGGAGGTGACGCGTGCCGGATGGGGAGCCAGGAAGCTCGCCCTGCACAGCCCTCACATTCCTGCTTGCAAACCATCTTTGTTTCGGTCATCACAGTGAAGATTGCTGTGATTGTGGCTGGCCAGCCAGCAGAGTTGGCTCTGTGACTTCTGTTTTCAAACTGTCATCTTTGGAAACGATTCTGATTTTCCTTTCCCAAATGCTGTTTCTCTGCTTTCACCAGCCAAGCCAGAAGCTCCCCCAGCCCCAGTTCAAGAGAAGCCTTCTTTATCAGAAGAGGAAATTGAGAGAAAATGCAAATCTATCGTTGATGAGTTCTTGCATATTAATGATTTTAAGGTGAGCAACGTGAGATCCTTGCTTAGCAGAAAGGTCTCCTGCTGTGGGGCCTCAGGATGCTTCTCCGTGGAACCAGTGGTACCCAGTTCTCCCAGAGGTCACAGGAGCAGTGGGACCTTGTGAGGTTTGGGTGGCAGCAGCTCCATGGATGTTTTCTGCCATACTTGAAGCAGGGAAGGTGGGCCAGTGTGTGTGTGGTAAGCAGCAAGATGTGTGTGTATCTGTCACAAATCACTGAGCAGCTCCATTATACGGCAATTTTGGAAGCAGAAGAGCTAGTGGGAAAATGAACTGAGGTTTTCATTTAGTTATCAAAGCATTTGCTGCTCTGATCTGGAGGCAGATAAAGCAATACTAAATATTGAATGAACCACTCCAGAGTATTTTTAATAAACATTGGAGATTACTGAGCAGCTGTCATCACTTCCTGGTTAAAGGTAACAATTTTGTTTCCCATGTAAATGGATTTTGAGCCTGTCCAGGGAGTTTGTAGGAATGGGGAACATTTGCTGCAGAGCTGATTGGTTTGATCTTTTGCTGAAATAAAATTTAAAAACATGCAAAGTTTGAAATGACAGTGCAAGGGATATTCCTAGCTTGGCAGCCTTAAAACAGAACTGATGTTTGCATTTCGTAGTGTTTCTAATTAAAATCAGAAAGAATCTTTATGATGGTTTGTTTGGGATTCACGCTGTTCAGAAGTACATCAGACTGATGCAGCTTGTTTGCAGTTACTTGATAACTTTGGATTTTCAGCACCCTTCAAATATGGTGACAAAGTTTCTGACAAATGCAGCTTTGTCTCACATTAATAGGCCAGCTCTTGTGCTAACGGAGCACTTGGCTAAGCAATAGAGCTATGGCAGTCTATATTTAAGAGTGTTTTATTTGCATAGGTTGCAAAATACACATGCTAGAAAGTAAAAGCTTTATACAGAGGAAATTTCCCTCTTAACGTTACCCATGTTTTCTGCTTTTTTGTACAGTGTGTTACTGTAACGTAGGCATTTCTGTTCAGCCAGCCCAGTTAGTAGTGAAGCTAACCTGATGTCCTGTTTTGGACTTGGCTTGATATGTTGTAGAACGGTAGGGATTTGGGTGACATGCAGAACGACCTCTGTCCCTAAGCATAGCTGCCAAGCAGTGCCCTGGAGCATGAGTGTGTATTCAAAGTTCTGCTGCTCGCACGGTGTAATTTTGATCCTTTTTTGATTCCTGACTGCCATTTCAGTGGTGATTTGTGAAGAGTTCCACAGCCCGGTTTGGCTTTGCTGTGTGTTTATGTCTAAAGCAGAACTGAAAGGCAGCGATGTCCTGAGACCCCGTGCCACGTGTTGCACAGCACACCCTGCTCTGGCAGCACAGACCTCCTGCACCGCTTGTTGTTTCGTGTTGGCACCTTTTGATGTTTGCAGTTGAGGCAGATGACCCTGCGTGTCGTTAAAACAGGAGGCGATGCAGTGCGTGGAGGAGCTGAGCGCCCAGAGCCTGCTGCCTGTGTTTGTGCGAGTGGGAGTGGAGTCAACGCTGGAGAGGAGTCAGATCACCAGGGATCACATGGGCCAGTTATTACATCAGTTGGTGCAGTCAGGAAAGCTGAGCAAGCAGGATTTCTTCAAGGGGTTTGTATTCTGCACATAGAAACCGATGCTTTTCCTGCGTGTTCAGTGCAGCTGAGCACTGTTTGTGTTGGAGAGAATGATTTCTCACTTTGCATTGGCATCCTACCCTCACCACACGTCCTTTTGGGAGCAGCATTTCCACCTGGGTGTGCTTACAAGTAATACAGATATTTTAGCGCATTTTTAGTCATTTCAGATGCTTTTAGTGAATGTAAATATTTTTGTATTTAAGTATTTATTTCTAATACATAGGTGTACGTTTAAATGCGCATGTTCAGATTTCTGCTTGGCACTGTGCTTGTCACTGTTTGCCTTTTGGCGAGCCATCGAATGTGCACAAAAGGGGAGGAGGAAGATAAAAACTTGATGTGACGTTGGTGCCTGCCCAGATACGGTATCAGAGAGAACAGACTTTCCTCAGTTAACTCTGCTTCAGGCCACCAGCTCCTTTTATCTCCCAGATGATAACTGCCTCTGGAGCTGGTGTTCCCAGCCTGGATTTGAATGTTATCCAGTCGCGAAAGGATCGGTGTTCCCGGAGCTTCCCGGGTGCCAACTTGTCCTTGGTAAGATTTAGAGCAGGATGGTTGAAATGGAAAACCGTGACAAGCAGCTGGAGAACAGGTAGATGAAATAACTCTCTCAGATGCTACATTTCTATGTATTTAGCCCTGTCTTGCTGCTTTGCTTTGAATCACATCTCATCATGGTGCTGACAGCAGCAGCAGTGTTCCCCCTGCAGTCATGTCTGGCAGTGAATTTTGTCATGATGAAATCGAGTGGCTCAGAGGAGAAGTTGAGGCAGCCTCAGTTCAAACCACATGGAGCAGCAATAAGAAAATACGTGCACAGGGAGCCCGCATCCATGTCCACGCATCACTGATGGCTGAGATGTCTGCAGTGATGCATCCCTGCAATGCACTGTGATAAGAGCCGTTCCTGCGCTTCCTCGGGCGCAGAGAAGCAGTTGTGATGCCAAGTAACCCGGGATCGTGTTGAAATGGTGGGGTTGTGGTTTGGAAACAGCACCGACAGAGCACAGCAGCTCCTGAGGATGATGAAAAGGCAGCTGCCCTTTGAGGTTTCCAGTGGGCACCTGAGAAGAACACTGAAAACCACTACACTGATTGCTGCACAAGTTACTGTGTAATTAGGGGTTGTGGGGTGAGTAGTGGTCATAGCACAGGTCTGGAGAGATACCACAGGAAACCAGCTGCTGGCCCAAGTGCTTGAACAAACCAGAGCTGAATAGTGGCAGAGGACATGAGGAACAGAGCAAAGGGGACAGCCTCTGCTTAGAAGTTGAACTCCAGAATCTTACAGCTTTTAAGAGAGAAGTGAACCATGATCAAAATAGGCAGGAAAGCAGAAAAATGATCGTCTTGATCCTGATAGGAGTATCAGGCTTGGAAAGTGAAGCCACCCACCGAGCTTTTATCGGGAAAGAGAGTTTTGAGCTATGCTGGAAATTGTATCCAGAGCTGGGGAACAGTTTTGTAATAGCCTGCTACGTTTTCTGTTCTGGATGTCCATTCTTCAGCAGGTCTGAGCAAATAGCTTGTGAGGGAAGAAGCCAGCCCCTTATCCTTATGTAAATGCCTGGGTTTTTTAAGAAGGCTCAATTTATTTGAACTTGTAAATGTAAAAAGTACTTCTGTTTGTGAAATTTTGCATGTTCCTGGGATATAAAAACTGCTGTCCATGGAGCTTTTCTGGATGCAGCATCCCTAGCTGCTGGTTTTACACAAGGCAATGCTCTTTCCACATTACTGCCTGAAGAAATCGGCCCCTGGCAGATTCAAAGCATTTGCAAGCATAAGATGTCAGATGTGTTCCTTGTGATGTTTGTGGTTTGCCTTTAACAGAGGGTTTTTTAAATGCAGGTTTACTTTGCAGGAAAAATCTCAGTTTGAGTTGTATTTAATGCCCGACGTTTTTCTTTTCTTTTAAAGGTTTTCAGATACCTTGGAGATGGCAGATGACATGGCCATAGATATACCCCATATATGGCTGTACCTAGCTGAGCTGGTGACCCCCATGTTAAAAGAAGGAGGAATCTCTATGAGAGAACTTATACAGTAAGCAGTGCTGCTCTTTTTCAGTGACAGCCGAGCTTCAGCTGTCTGCCTGCTGTGCCACAGCACGGTTCTTACTGGCAGATAGAAAACTGACCACGTTAGAGGTGCACCTTTGCCTATTGGTTGCTGCATATCCTTTGGGATTGAGGATTTGCACCAAAAGCTGGGGTGGGGAGCTTGCTGCTCTTCAGTCGCGGTTCAGGGGTGAAAGTTTTATCTGTAAATGGATTTCGGTCTTGTTTACTCTGGCTGGCCTAGCAGCTACCCCGTGCTGCAGTCAGTGCCATTCAGAAGCGCGCTGATGCTCTGAGAATTAGATTTGGAGAGAGCGAGCTGCCGCGCCGGTGTCTTTGTGTCTCACAGCGCAGTGACAGCGGCCTGGGCAGTGCCTGAAACACCGGCACAAACCTGGCTGGCAGGGCTGGAAACTGCTCCCAGGACCAGAGTTCCTATGCTTTGTACACTTCATTATATATTTGGAGATTAATTAGAAGTCAGTTGAATGGTTCCCTTCTTAAGTAAGTAGTATTGAGACAATCATGACTGTTTTTTCCTCAAAAGCTCTTATCCTGTAGGGTCCTGCTACCCAAATGCAGCACCTCATAAAAGTTGAATGGATACGATCTCGAGCAGAAATGAAGAAAGTATTTGTAATTAGCCCTGTTGTGGCAAGCACACTTGCATCAACAAAGTCTGTTTTATCAGCTGTGCTAGCTAGATGAGATCCTGTATTCCTGGCATAGGCTACAGCTTTTGTCCTGCTTCCGTTTGATCATGTCCCTTGCCTTGCATTGCAGACTTGGAGCAATGTTAGATGAGCATTTAACTGTCTTCAGGGAAAAAAAAAAAAAAAAGATTATAAGCAAATATACCTGTTTTTCTCTTGTTCTAGAGAATTTAGCAAACCTTTACTTCCTGTGGGAAGAGCCGGGGTCTTGCTTGCTGAAATCTTGCACCTTCTATGCAAACAAATGGTAAGTGTCCAGGAGCACCGTTCCTATGAGCTGGAGGCAGCAAGTATGTCAGTGCATGAAACCACTGCTCACGTTTCCCACTTGGAGATACTTAGGGATGGGCAGCCACTCCAGATAACCTAGGAAAACTTGCTTCTTCATCCCCAGTTTCAAACCAAGCCTTGTGAGGTTCCAAAAAGTTGAGTTAACTTTTCTTTTCTCATCACTTTTCCCTTTTGCAGGTACCTTTGCACCTGGCTTCTTCCAGAAGCTAGAGTGCTGAAATACTGCAAGAGGGACATTCCCAAGGTATTTCTGGGCTGACCAGAAGCAGCAAGTGCCGGAAATCTTGCGAGAGAGCTGTTCTTGCAGACCGCAGAGGTTCTGAGAGTTCGGATAAGCTCCAGATGCCTCTCAGACTTCTGGGTGCTTATCCAAACTAAACCTGCCAACTCTTAAGACTCACCATCACTAGGGGTAGTGACACCTTTTCACCCTGTGACTTCTACAGCTCTCTTACACATTTCACAGTTGTGTGTCCAAACAGTTTGGTGGCTTCCCTATAACTGTCTCCATTTTTGTCTTTTTTTTTTTTTAATCCAGCTAAATATGCACTTTGAATAGTGTCTATTTGAAACTCTGTAAAATCCTTCACTTGCCTTTTTGGTTGTTTTTAAGCATGCATTTAAACAGGGGTGATTGTTCCTAGAGCATTTCAGGCTAGCAGTGCAAACAGTGACGTTTTATTGATGTCTTTTTGTCTTATGCTTATTTGGACAGTGATGGGGTTTTTTGTTTAGTTTGTTTCTGAATTTTGTTTTTTCTCCTCCATTCTGTGAGAGCTGCTCTGCTCTGGGGGCTGAAGGACGAGGTTGGGTTTCTATTTCTGTCACAGCTTTATAATTCTCTTGTCCAGGCCAGTGTGTGGACATGGTTATTTCAAGTCAGGCGTTTCCATGCAATAGCAGTCTTGTTGAATAGTCAGATCCTGATGAGTGGTAGCAGGAACTGCACACAATTAGCATTTAATAGTCTGTATTGTAAATTTAAGATTGTAATCTGCTTCGTAAATGGAAAATCAAGCTGCTTTTATCAGTATTTAACTTGGGCTGTGCAGTAATGTCCCGCGTGCAGGTGCAATGGGGTCAGTGATTTTGGAAAGCCTTGCAGTGAAAAGAGCTGATTGTGTTCCTGTCAGGATGATGCCCATGCCATGCTGGGCAGGCTACCAAAGGGTCAGCACAGCAGATGCTGCACGGTGTGTGCTGCAAAAGAGATTTTCCTCAACACTGGCAACAAATTCTCAAAATGGAACAGTTGGGTGCTATGTACAAATGGGAGCTTTGACCCGTGAGCAGAAAACAGCCATGTAAATACGAATGTTCTAGAAGTAGCTAATTTGCCAGCGCCAGGGCAGGGAGGCAATGTGTTACAGAGGAAGTTGCTGACAGAAGAATCATGCTTCTGTCTGCCAGCTCCGTCGTGGTCATGGGAAGCTGTGCCTTACTCAGGCATGTCCTTTCTCATAGGTAACCTCTGGCTGAAGCTGTTGCAAACCCCACGTGTCACGTTGTGCCTTGTTTATTACCCATCACCATGGCATCTGACCTCTTTACAAGTTACCTATACGTGTGGCAGGGTTGTGTATATGATTTCTCTTGCACGGGACTTCCAGACATTTTCACATTATTGCTAGGCATCTTGTTTGTAGCTGAATGGTTCTTTATTTCCCCTGACACAGCTGCACCACTCCAGCTTGTGTAAGCTCTCATGGTTGTCTCTCAAGTCTTTCAAATGGGCAAACTGTTTGTATTTTAGAGCCATAAGAAAGTGGGAGCCTTATGGAGGGAGACTGGCCTCAGCTGGAAGGACTACTTACCTGAAGGGGAGGATGTACATACCTTTCTCATGGAACAAGTGAGTGAACAGCAAGCCACTGCCTAATGGCTCTGTCGTGCTGATTTGTGTATTGCATTTGTTAATCTCCTTCCAATCCTGTTCTTAGGTGTAGTTGCTGTGGGATGAAGTGTCTCCAGCTCTGAAATGAGGTTATATGATTTCAGTGCCTCTTTCTGAAATGCCAGCAGGTCTGGCTTCTCTGTGATCCCAGGCAAGCATGTCCCACCAGCTGGCTTAGCCAGCAGATGTGTTTCTCCTAAAGAGGGGAATGAACTCAGAATGAGTTTTGAAGCAAGCAGGATAAGCTGTGCAGAAGGCTCAGAACAAATGGTAGCATGTATTCACTGGTCCCACCTTGCATCATGATCCCAGAGAGTTTCACAATAAAGAGGAACCAAGGCTGACAGAGGGCACCTTGCAGCTGGTGGTTGTGCTCCTATTGAAGTACCTGGAGGTCTTCCTCGGGAGCCCCAGGCGACCCACTGCCCTGCTTTCACACTTAAGAAGTGCTGTGCTGCAGGAAATGAAATGGATCACCAAAGCCTGGTGATGGATGGGGGCACTGCAGATCCTCTGTCATGTTTTGCAAGAATGGAGGCATTGGCTGCAGCTTTTTTGGGCAAATGCTGGCTCTGATAATTGCATTCCAGCTCCCTGTGGTTTTAGTTGAGCAGCACGGACTTTCTGTCGTGCAGGGCTGGAGTAGTTCTGGGATGCCTGGTTGTTTTTGCTGGTTAATGAAATTCCCACTTTTGTAAAATGCTCCATAGGGTTTGGAACAGAAGAAGATGTATAAATCATGGCAGTGTTAACTTTGCCATTGAAAGATGCAGAAAACACTGAAGTGTAGCCTGCTGCCTCAACTTGGCATAATTTGATGTAGAAAAGTTTATTTAACTCATTCTCATCATCACTTCTGATGTTGCAGAAGTTGGAGTTCACGGAGTCTGACTGTTCCAGTTCCCCAGAAGCACTTTCAGAGAAAGAACTCTCCGCAGAAGAGCTGAACAAGCAGCTAGAAAAACTCATTGTTGAGGACAAGGCGAATGATGAACAAATCTTTGACTGGGTAGAGGTACAAAGACTGTTTTCACCCTCCGGGCACACAGTTCATTAACTGCTTTTGTAAATATTTTCTCATCTAAAGGAGTATCTCTACAGTGTCTCAGGTCCTCTTACATTTATACAGTGCTAGGCCTGAGGTATCTGGAAGGAAAACTGCCAGGAGACAGCTTGTAAGATCAAGTGGCTGGCACAGAGTTGCTCTGTTTTGAGTTGTTGCTCTGTTTGTTCCACCGAGGTGGGAAACCGTCAGAGGCATTTACAGCTCTCACCTGTGTCTTTCTGACTATCTCAGGCACTGCCCTGTATACTCTGGCTGCATTATCTAAGGCCTATTTTGAATCTTATGCCTGAAACGATACTCAGCTCAATTCAGTTAGCTCTCTGCTTACAGCTAAGCCTTGGTCAGCTTCATTCCAGTTATTTCTGTTGCTGGAGGACTGGTATTGCTGGTGAGAAGTGGTATTTTCTGCGGCTGTTAGAGAGCAGAACGAAAGAAGCATGAAAATCTAAGGACACCCACAAGCTCTCTTTGTAGTGTTGGACAAGTTATACAGCCATTCTGTGAGCTTCTTCTGCAGAGCAAACAAGTCTCCTCCATGGAGCATTCTGTAAAATTTGTTTCAAAAGCACACAGCAGATGTATAAGGCTACTGTAAACAAGAGTTATTGGTTTTGGTTTTTTTAAGACATATGATGAGTTGTGAGAAGAATTGGTGCATTGATCACAGGAGAGCTCTTGTTGCATGTTGGTGTACCTGAGCTGTTTCCAATTGAATGGGAAAGTTGAGTTTTTGCACATGATTCTTTGCACTGGATTCTTACTGCAGCAGCTTTTGTTAAACTTCAGCTTCCTGCCAAATTCAGCAGTGGAATTTGGAAACAATTCCTCTTAAGCACTGGCATGTTTTTAACTGGTCCATTTACTCTTGATTTCAGGCTAATCTAGATGAAAGCCAGATGAGTTCACCTACATTCCTTAGAGCTTTAATGACAGCAGTCTGTAAAGCAGCTATTATAGGTGAGTAACTTGCAATGTAAACACCACACCAACTGGCCTTGCGAGAGTTAGTACATACTAATTTTTCAAGTTTATATCACTTTTTCTCCCCTCTGAAACTGCTTTTTATCATGGAAGATTTTTGAACCCTATTGAGTTCTGGTGTTCAAGGGCAGGACGTCCATTCCTCTGCAGTGGCCAGGCGCTTCCCTGCTTACGGTGTGCTCAGGCCCTGACACGGCCCAGCGACCGTGCGTGAGCAGACATTGCAGGTGACTCTGAGTAATGCCAGGTTGTTCATGGATTTTTCTAGGGAAGGTGGAAATGCTCTAGACATTACCGAGGTAATTAGCATTTCCACTCCTTTGTCAGCAAGCTTGCATGGGCACTCAACTATTGCAGATCACAGGATCACAGAAACACCAAGGTTGGAAAAGACCTACAGGATCATCCAGTCCAACCATCCACCCATCACCAGTAGTTCTCACTAAACCACGTCCCTCAACACGACATGCAAACGTTCCTTGAACATCTCCAGGGTCGGTGACTCCACCAGCTCCCTGTGCAGCCCATTCCAGTGCCTGACCACTCTTTCAGAAAATTAGTACTTCATAACCTGCAGCCTAAATCTCCCCTGGTGCAGCTTGAAGCCATTCCCTCTCGTCCTATCACTGTTACGTGAGCAAAGAGGCCAACCCCCAGCTCACCACAACCTCCCTTCAGGTAGTTACAGAGAGCAGTGAGGTCTCCCTGAGATTGCCATGTGTGAGTTGGAAACGTGGGTTTCAGAGCAAAAGCCAGCTTGTATCACTGTCTTGTTAATAGTTTTGTGTCCAAAGCGTGTTGTGTTTTCAGAAACCCATTTGTGTGGGTTTGAAGGTACAGCAGTTGCAGTGTATGGTTTGAAATGGAGGAGGCGGATTCCTAAGTCAGACACATGAGCCTCAGCCTCGCAGGGGTGCTCTGCAGACTGGTCAGTTCACGTTGTTTTCTTTAGTTTTACTCTTGGTGTCTGGTAAGGCAAAAAACTGTGCCTGTAAAGCACCCACTTCTGCTCCTAGCTGTAAGAATCAAGGCTCAGCAGAGAGAATGGGCTGCGCTTCACCTCCTGGCTGCAAGGCTGAGTGGAAAGGTACAGCCCAGCGCCTTTCTTCTACGAGAGCAGAACCTTTCTGATGCCACCTAGTGTTAGCGGGGAAATGATGCAAGATTTTATGACGGGTGTTGGAGAGTTAGGAATCTTTGCTGGGAGTGTATCAGAAACGTCTTCTGTTCTGCTTTTTGGCCTTGCTTCTAATAGAGGGTTTTTTCTTTTGTTTCCAAAAAATCACTGAATTGTGTTGTCTGATCTACTTATAAAGCTGCTAATGTATCTGTGTTGCTGACGGACTTCTAACGTGTATTTTTGCATGTTCCTGATCCCCAGTGTCACTTGCAACTGATGATTCTGTTTATGCTTTAGTATTTTTAGGGGAAAAAAAAACACAGACTAAAAACCTTCTATAGAGCTGAAATGTTAGCACTAGCCATTGTACATTGTTTGAACATCCAGCTGGGTGAGTTGTGCTGCACAGTTCAGACGAAGCAGGCTGGTTAGGATCACTACAGATAGCAGCTGCCTTTGGGGAACTGTAAAAATCAAGACTTCCAGAAAAAGCCAGTGATCAGAAATACTTCTTATTTTTTCTTATCTTTTTGTCTGTCTTCATGCTAACCAGTACCAGTCACTTCTGTTTGAATAAAGATAATAAAAGATTTACTCCTGCTGCCGTCTACCACAGCTGACCCTGTTTTCTTCTCTTCCCTTCAGCGGACTCTTCTAGCTTCCGTGTGGACACTGCTGTTATCAAGCAGAGAGTGCCGATCTTACTCAAGTACCTGGACTCAGACACAGAGAAGGAACTACAAGCACTTTATGCACTACAAGCATCAATAGTAAAACTTGATCAGCCTCCCAGTAAGTGTTGTCTGTGTATTGGGGATTTAAACCCTTGACAGCCTAACGAAGAGTTGCTTCTGCTGCAGTCTGGCAGTAGAGTCTGGAAAGAAGTGCTTTTCCTGACAACAGAAACAAAATTTTACCTCTGTACGTGGCAGATGAGATAACACAGTATACAGTCTTTCTGCTTGTCCAGATTCCAGCTTCTAGAGAAGTGCAGCTCCCCAAATGCTTGGCCAGAGGTGGGTTCTTCTCTTGCTTGCTCCTGTAATCAGCTGTGCAGAAGAAAAAACAAATCTCTGTAATGCAAAGATGACAGAAGAACAGTAGAAGGTTAACCCTTATCTGGAGGGAGCTGCCTTCACCTCAGCTGTGTCTGAGCAGCCAGGAAGCAGTAACCCAGGGGCAGGTCTTCCTTTTGCTTGTGTCTCCTGCTGTAAAGGTCCCATTAATCCCCTTATCCGTAACCGCGGCTTTGTCTGCTGGCTGCGGCGCGCAGCACTAACAGATGTTCTCTGCCCTGGTTCCATTATTGCAGATTTGTTGCGGATGTTCTTCGATTGCCTGTATGATGAGGAGGTGATTTCAGAGGATGCCTTCTACAAGTGGGAAAGCAGCAAGGACCCAGCAGAGCAGAACGGGAAAGGAGTAGCGCTGAAATCTGTCACAGCATTCTTCACATGGCTACGGGAGGCTGAAGAGGAGTCAGAGGATAATTAAAACTTAAAATACAGGAAAAAAAACAAAAACAAAAACACACACAAAAAACAATTTAAGTATTTTTTTAAAGAGTTTCACGTCTTCGCCAATCACAGTGCAGCAAGGCCAATTCTCGCGCAGACCCCCTTCCCCCACACACGCACGAGTGGGAGAGATAACATAGATAAACACAAAGGTGATCATGGAGGAAAAAGGTACTTGAAAAAAACAGTAAACTTCAAACCTGGCGGGAGCACTAAACCAAAATCCATGTATTATTTATAGAAAATATTTTCTGTTTTAATCTTTTTTTTCTTTTCTTTTTAAACGAGGACTCAAATACACAAAGCAAAACAAACCTGTTTAGCAAACAAAAAAAAAAAAAAGTTTAAAACTTTTAATTTATTATTTTAAGGACTGCAAATGCCAGTGTAATTTTTAAATTTGCAGTTTCTGTAAACAAATTGTATAATAGAACAAAAGCAGAGAAATAAATTTCCCTCCCCTTCGTATGCACCTCAGTTTTGTTTCAAAGCATGATAAATAGACAAAACTTTTCAAGGGGGTTGGGGTAAGCTAGGTGAGGAAGAGATCTTTTTTTTTTAATTGTCATCAGATTTTTCTGCCTGCCTCTCAGCTTGCTTCAGAAATGTAACAGAACGTAGTGCACAGCCTCGGATCGGAAGGAAGTGAATTTGAGAAAACGGCTGCGGACCAGAGTGCTCCGAAAATAACTCATTCAAAACAGTGCTACCCTGGGGAAAAAATGTACTAGTGATACTTTCAGAACCTTTAGAGCAACTTTAAGGCTTGTAAATACATAGAACAAATATTTAAAAAAAAAAAAAAGAAAAAAAGAAAAAAAAGAAATTGACTCGGATACTATTTCTTTTCACTTTCAAAATATAAAGAACAAAATAAAGACAAACATTGCAAGTTTAAAAGAAAGTAAAACGACTTCTCCTTTGACAGCTGCTGAATGTGTGCACCACCTCAGCGGTGCTGGCTTCCTTTTCATTGTGTAGATCCTCAGTTCCAAATTGTGTACATATAGTGTGCGTACGTATGTGTGTCGGCCAAAAAGAGGGGTGAGAGCAATTGTTTTTACAGCAACAACAGAAAGGTGGGGGGTTGCTGCTTGGGAGACTTCTTCTGCAGAGAGAACTTAATGGCCAAGAGCAGGCGGCTGCTTGCAGTGCTGTGGGGCTGCAGGCAGGGCCGTGCCCTATGGCAGCCCTGTGAGCGCGGTGCCTCGTCTGCTCGGAGCAGAGGTGTTGTGCTGGGACCTGCGACACGGCGACTGTGGAGGCTGCAGCTGTTGGAGCGGAGAACCCCAGCAGCCCTGCTGCGCGGCTTGTACGTCTGTTGCTGCTCAGCTTCCAGCACACCTGCTGGCTGCCCTGATGCTCGTTAGAAACCCAAAAACGCAGAAGGGTGAAAAGGAACGCGACCTATGAGAGCCACGAGGTGAAAGGAGCGCAGCCAGCGGCGCGGTGCTCCTCCCGGCCCTGCCGCCCCACGCGGTGCCCGCTCACCAGGTGCTAACGGAGCTGCTGAGCGCGTTAAGTCTCCTGGCTGTCTCTCGTCAACAACCAAAGATGACCTGCTGGCTCTCATGTGAAGAAGCGTCTACCGTCATCGAGTTTGTGCAGCCCGGAAATGGAATTTGTGAACTGTGGTCCGTGGACCGCGAGTAACCTGTGGAGCAATTGCTGGTGGTCTGTGCAGCACTAGCTGTTCACGTGATGCTGTCTTTTTTTCTTTCCAGCTGCTAAATCACTTCTTTTTAATCTTAAAAACAATAACAAAACAAAAAAAAAGGGGGGGGGAGGAGGCAAAAACTACATTAAATACTTTCCTAATTTTACTTTTACATGTAAACAATTGCTGTACTTACATAAGGATGTTACTTGATCACCAAGGGGAAGGGAGGAGGGTAGCTGGTTGTGGCTGCAGGGGGAGATGTCTGTGTGACGCTTTCCCTGTCGATGTGTGTCCATGCCATGCGTCTGAGCTGGAGAATCCATGGCCTCAAACACTAGAGCTGTTTGGTTCTTTTTTTCTTTTTTTTTTTTTTCTTTTTTTTTCTTTTTTTTTAATAACAATAAAACACTTTTCTCTGATGTTTTGTTAAAAAAAAAAAAAAAAGAAGAAGAAAAAAAGAAGAAAAGAAACTTCTCACCCTTTATATGTGCATATGTCTGTACCTGCTTGTATGACACCCAGCAGCTCCTCATCCACAGCTGCTCCCCCCACCTCCAGCCTTGGGCTCACCGTCCTGTGACGGTTTGCTTGGGTTTGGTTTGTGAGGCTGTGGGTTGTGTGTGTGCTCTTCTTGCAAAAATTAATTTTCGAGCCAGAAGAAGAGTGGGTATGCGATGGTTTGTAGCAGTGAAATAGTTCAGTTAAGAAGATGCGACTTTGTGTATAAATTAGGCCAAATATTTGCTAAGTTGTGTGGCGCTCACACCTGGTGAACTGGTGGGCTGTGTTCAGATCCTGCTGGTAATGTGTGTGTCCTGTGCCAGAGCCACCGTGTGCCACTACGTAAGGACTGTAATTTCTGTGCTGATTGCCTTTGAATCAGAAAGGTAGGAATTGCTAGAGCCTCTGAACATTCATGTGAATCAGAGTGTGCAAGGGCAGGGATGTTGGAGAGCTTGAATCCTCAGACTGAAGGATCTGAAAAACCACTGGCTGGAAGGAAGGAGATCAGTGAGCACACGGGTAGAGGAGGAAAGTCTCTCCTCTCCTTGTTTGAGCCTTTAATGGTAAATGTCTGTAGGGAGTGGGAACTGGCCTTGTTAGTGCCTTGCAGCAGGAAGGAAGGTTTCAGAGGTTTTAAGAATATTTTCAGAATTACTCAGAGGCTCTGAAAAGGTGTGTTTGCAACACAGCAATTTTTACATCTTAAGATCGAGGAATAAAGCTGTACATGGAGCGATGTGAGAAGTTTATACACTAGACAGAGGCTTCCAGCAGTGGATATGTTGCCTTGTGGCTCAGCTTCCTACAAATGTCACCATCTGATACCAACCTTGGACCAAAATTGCTTCCTCTGCCCGCCTTGCTCTGTTTGCCACATGCTGCTTGCTTACCTGCAGGCTGCAGCTGTTTTTCAGTAACCTAAATCTGCACGGATTTCAGGATGTAGCCAGAGGTCCGTGAAGATCTTTGCAACACATCCTCCCTGTGGGCGTTAAAAGAGAAAAACTGCAAGAGATGCATGAAACAGAAAAGAGGGTAATTAATCATAGGAAGTTTTCTTCTCGTGATTGATTTGCAGAAGCCTCATTCCACATACATGCATGTTGCTGTTGATACTGCAAGGTGTGAGCAGGGAGAACATGGATATCCCCTAATGTTTGTGGTTTGTTTTCCCTTTCAATCTTCGTCCTACGAAGCATTTAAACGCACTGTCTGGGCAGGCTCATGAACGCGGCAGGGCGTTAATGCAGCTCAGCAGGAAAGAGCTGCATTAAGAGCCATTTCCACTGCTGGGAGCCCTTCTGGTGCTGAGTGCTATCAAAGGCGCGGGCGAGGGGGAGGAGCAGATGCTCACTTACGTCTCTTTTGTCTTCATTGCTGAAAATGTCCCTGAACCTGAAGCAGTTGAAGTATCCAGGCAAGGTGTGTGCCGAAGGCTGGTTTCTTTCTAGGAAAGTGTTTCCAGGACTGCATCAGCCATTTCTAGGAATGAGGTCAGGTCACCGATAACAGACCTTGCAGTGTCTTCTTGTGTTAACAAGTTTTTTTAGCCTTGTTTTCTCAAGAAGCAGAATTCAGTGTGCAGCTCTGCCTTTTGCTTCTTACCTATAAAGCAGTATGGCTGTGTTTCAGCGATGCCCTGCGTGCACTGGAGCCAAGGAGCCTGAGGTGCTCCTGAGTCACCCAGGCTGTGGCACGGAGCTGCTCATGGTCACACCTGAGCGCTTTCCATTTCTAAATGAGGCAGCAGCTCCCAAAATCCCTCGTGACAGGGATGTTACAGATACTCAGCAAGTGAGAATTGTGGTGAGAACAGCCGCAGCCCAGGCTCTTAGGGCAGGTGTAAGGGGACGTGGTTGTGACTTTTGCCCAGGACCAGCACTCCGTGGTGCAGGAGCTGGTAGCTAAAGGCTCACAGAGATTTGGGAAAAGAGATTGGCAGTAGAAGTGGTTTCCAGTATTCACAAGGCAGGGTTAAGCTAATAGCAACTTACCAGTCTGCTGCATCCCTGCAACCTAGAGCTTTCATTTCTAACCTACAGATCATTTCTCCTGAGAAAGACAAAGAAAACCCCATAACTTGCTGAGCTTCCTTAAAACCAATTGCAGATGTTGGCATCTGGTTGCCAAAAGAGTGGCTGTGATTGTTCCTGTACGCTCCTGTTCAACATGAGTTGTTTTGCAGACAAAGGGATCTGAAACTGGATGGTTTGTCAGAAGCATTCAGTGTAGAGCAGAACAGTTAGTACAGCTGTGCCCCTGGCACCAGTCACTTGCATTTGATTTGTTTCACAGACGTGAAAGGGTTCAGCTTTGTAGGCAGCAAGCTCAAAACCAGACACATACACCCAGAACCCTCTTGTGTCCTCACAGCTTTCCTAAAGACCACGCCAGAGAAATGACGGTAACTGCAGAGCAGCCTCAAGATGCTCAGCTACATTTAGGTGAGGTGGCTGTTGGCCAGAGATAGATGTGCTGGTGGTGAGGTGCTGCGAGGTGGGAGTCTGGTCAGGGCTGCTGAGGAGGAAGCACAGGGCAGAAGGTCAAACCAGCAAGCACTGAGCTCCAACATGACATGCTTGGTCCGGCATGGTCCAGATCTTGGCCTTTCTGCTCTTTGGAAGATGTTGGCTCTGCTGCTACGTGGCCCTAGGCCAACTGAGCAGCACCAAACAACATCAGCAGAAGTGCCAGCTCCTCACCTGCTACTTTATTTTAGTAAGGTACTAACTCGGGATTGCGTGAGAGGCCATGCGCTGATAGAAAGTTGGAGCAATGCTCTCATGTGGCCTGAGGGCCATGTGCACACTGCAGCAACCGTAGGACGGAGCCTGAGGCTGAAGACCCCAGGACTGCATAGCTGCTCGTCACTCCAGCGCCATGGATAGAGAATCCTCAAGGAGCCATGGCAGGAAAAGCATGGCGATAGACAAGCAACTGCAGCAAGTGAGACTGGTCAGCCCACTCAGCTTCCATGAGCGTGACCAAACCCTCGCACATATCTGAGGAAACTTCAGTAGAAGTTTTCTACCCTTGTACTTTCCGTGGGGCCCTGCATACTGCCTGCCCTAACAGTCATGGAATTGTGGTTTTCTGAAATAACTCCCTCTTATTTAAATGCAGCTGTAGGAATGCCCTGCCATGATCTATGGAAAGTTTTGGTCATGTGGAGCTGGTTTATCTCCCTCATTTCCAGCTGCTAAATTGCACTGAAAAGAAGAGAGAAATAAAACCAGCTCCTGCTCCATTCAGTGCTTTCCAAAGGGAAATTTGTCCAACTGTGCCATTGCTGTCCCAGCTGCAGGGATGTTTGTGCTGTGACTGCAAACTGGAAGGGAGAAAGGAGTCATGGGGAAGGCAATCGATGCTTTAAGGGAGTTAGGAAATCTTTGTATTAGTGTGAGAGGAGAAAACGGTAAAACCTTCCATTTGCATGCTTGGTTGTCTTGTTCCAGCCCCCCATAGGGTTAGTAGCCGATGTTGCCACAAAGCACAGGTCTAAGCTTGCGAGTTCAGAGCATTAACAGGCACGGAGGAGAGCACTGTTAGAAGTGTTTTACTACAGCACTGCAGAGAAGAGCTGAAAAGACCATCTCAGCTGGTCTCAGCTGTGGAGGAAAATGGGCCATTTCAGTGCATCACAACAAGGGGCCCAAGAAGGGAGCAGGCACTGAGCAATCGGCCGGGCTGTGGCACCGCTGCCGCGTTAGCTTCTGGCGATGGGCGCAGTGCATGGTGCTGCTCTCCTGCTGCACAGCCCTGCTGTGGGTCTGCAGGGTGGAAATAATTCTAGTAAACTGCCACAAAAGCACAACGCAACAGTGGATGGTAGAACCCATCCCACCTGCTTCCTCTGAGCTGCTTTCTTACAGCATGAGTGCCTGCCTTGGGATCCGCTGACACGAGATGCTTTTTTCATGCAGTGTAATCATCAAACACAAAGAATGTCACACACCTTCTCCTCAGAACACATGCTCATCCTGCAAGGAAAGGTGAGCACATCCAACTCTTCTGGCTGCCTCCACCATCACAAGGTAGTTCATTTGAACAGGAACCTGGACTGCAGCTGTCAAATGTCAAAGAAGAGCCAGCTGACGGGATTTCCCATGGAGAGACAAGCACTAGATCTGACTGTATGCTTCAAGCAAGTGCTATTGCCAAAAGTGCTTTAAATTCCTGCTCAGCCCAAGGGTTTTGTCTTCCCAGCAAGGCTTGCTGGCATGCCGTTGCTCTGTTACAGCTGCAGGACCAGTGCAGAGGCCGTAGCTCGGCCAAGCTGCTGAATGTGCTGGGCATGCTGCTGATGGCAGGGGCAGGCACTGCACACACAGCAACCAAAAGTGAGCTTTTGTAGCTGGAAAAGCATACCCAGCCAGGAGGTGCTCCTGACAGTGAGTTATTACCTGCCTGGTTGAGAGGAACAGCCACTGCCTGCTCTGCGCTGCAGCCTGCTGTGAACCAATTCTATTCTGGAACGGTATTTGGTTCAGAGAGCAAAGGAATTTCACAGCGTTCCCACTGCCAGGTACTAACCGTGGGAACACAGCTTTGGGAGAGGTGTGTCGACCTACTATGAAATGCCAAGCTGGTCAGCTTCAAACTGTCTTTGGCTTAGGAGAGCTGCTGTTTCCTCTTGCCAGCTTGGGGTAAAATAAATCTCTACTGTAATGCCAGAAGTGTGATGGAAGAATCACAACTTCCAGCCACTGGTTTCCCAGCGATGACCGTATCTGCCTCATCCGCCATAAGGATCCCTTTCAGATTGGGGCATCTCTAGAAGAGCAGCAGCCTGTGGAGGCAACTGAGCCCACAGCATTTTTTCTGCAAGGCCCTTTCTTTACGGTCAAAATTTCTGTCAGTTCCAATGGCAGGTACATTTCTGCCATACGTAAAAACCGTGATGGCTCCAGAAGAGGTAAAACTTTGGTATTTTTAAACATGTTTTTATTCATTTCTTAGGAACTAATGCAAAAATGAGCAGGCAAGTTTGAAAGTAAGCAGATGAGCAGAATATCAGTTGGAAAATTGGAAAGGGTTTGAAAAGAAGAGCTAGCTGGGATCCCTAATGGGCTGCTCTTAGAGGGATGGCAACAAATCAGCTGGGAGTGGAATGTGGAACAGTCTGCTGGAAAAGTATGGAGAAAAACTTATTGGAGGTTGATAAAGAATGAAGAGATCAAAGGTAGTGTCGGGAGGGCCACAAAGTGTCAGAGAATGTACATTTTTTTGAAAGCAGAAATTGAGTGATTTTTGCACAGTTGCAGCAAACACAGTACGTTAGAAGAGCTTCTCAGTTGTTCTGGCAACCATTACAGATGTGCAGTCGGTAAAGTAGCCATACATGCCCAGAATGGCAACAAAGTGCAAAACTGTGGCTAAAGAACATCACATCAGTTCTTCCAAAGTCAGGAACTGAGTGTGCGCTGTGCAGGGCCTGTGTTTCATAAAGCAGAGTCCTTCCTCACCTCATACTTCTGCATGCTGCAGAGGGGCTTCATTCAGCCCAGGTAGTCTCTCACATATCGATGTGAGACCCACATTAATTAAACGCTTTGAGTTTGTGATGGTTTGGGGATAGTTATACTCAACACCATTCCCTGTTATCTGTGTTAAGCTGAAAACATGAGCCAGGCTCTCCCTTCACAGCCAGGCACACCGCCTGCTGAACAGAAACCACAAGGCAGAAAAGCAAGGGTCCTGCTCAAGCCCTCTGTGAGCTTCCCTGGAACATTCACTGCAAAATTAGCAACTGTGCCATATACTTCAAATGGCACAGCCTGACTGCCATCAAACAGCGCAATCAGGCTGCAGCAACAACAGGCTGGTTCTGTTACAGCATGTTTAGCCCCAAGGTTACATCAAACCCCAAATTACCTTCCTCAGATACACATTCAGGGAGAAACAGGTTTAAAGGGAAGAATCAGTAAACATGTGCTACCCAGTGTGGGGAAGGCTTCTTGGGGAATCTTTGAGTTGTTTTTCAAAGCACAAGAAGCTGAAGAAGCAGAAGAACGCGGAGCTTGAGGGATGAAAGAATGAAGCAATGGGAAGGAGTTCCCCAGCCTGCTGTGCTCCTGATGTGGGATGAAATGGAAAAGACTCACGTTCTCCCTGAGCCAGGCTGGCTGTAGGCAAACATTTTGGAAAGATTTTACAAAACAAATGTGAAAGTTGAGGTAAAAAAGTGGAAACAAATTTGCTGAAGTGGGGTAAGGATACCAGAGGCAAGGCCTAAATATAATCAAGTTTGAAGCTGCAGGCCAATGTTAAAACAGAATTTGGTGACGCTTAGCCAGCAGGACTGTGAACATAGCAGCAGAAGCTGATTCCAGGGTATACAGAGCACACCGTGACATGGGTAGTGATAATCTTGTTTTGTTCTGTGTGAGGCAGTAGCAGTTCAACAACATGAGTGATGTGTTCGTTAAATTAAAAAATATATGTATCCATAAGTAAAAATTGTGGTAAAATGGGGAAAACATTAGTTGGTGTATGGTAAGAAAACAAAACGGCTTGTGACCCCTGGAATGGAGGTACTGAGACCAGAAGTACAATGGGTTTCATGTTTCCAGCCAAAAAAGAACATGAGGCATTGGTCTGGAAAGTCTCTAAAGGATATGGGGTGGAAATGGTAAATCATTCGACATGCAAATTTTATGCAACTCATCTAAACAGTAGCAATAACTAAATGTCCCGGTTTAAACTGCAGGCTGAACTGCACAGTCAAAACCCAAAGCTCCAGGCAAATTTGTAGAAGCTTTAGGACTGCAATCAAATTGGATGATTTTAAAGAAAAAAAAAATCCATGAACCAGCTGGGATTCATACATTGCATTGCACCTGGGAGGGCTAGAAAAGGGACTGAAAGTGCTTAGCACTTATTAAAAGTATTTGATGATGATGATAGTGCTGTGCAATCAGTTTGATGGCAATTTCTCTGTCCTGCACAGCTTCCTTCCTCCTGTGCATCCTCACCAATGTGTGCAAGGTCACCCGGGTTCCCAAAGCTTCACTCTTCTCAGTGTGATAAAATATATGAATGGGAGAGGGAGGGGGGAAATGACATCAGCCCACCCAGAAAGTGGGGTGGAGAGGAGATTGAGCAGTGCCGTTGTTGCATTGCCTCCTACGGTACTGACCTAAAACCAGGCCAGGACCAAATGACTGCACACACACACCAATATGATGGACAGCAAAATGGCGTTTATTACACGTGAACTCTAGCTTATGTAACCTATGTGCTTCGTCTACGCCCCTAAGGGCACGTGCCACACATCAATCAGAGAGCAGGGAGAGGGCCTATCGCGTCACATCCCGTGGGGGGGTCTCGCAGTTGCTGACAACATCTCCCCCTCTCCAAGCTCAAGAAAGTCTACTACAACTCAGGAGGACCCTACCCGCGTACACCCCGAAATCCCCGCATTGCGCCCATACATGCTGTTGTCCTCTCGGTTAAGCCTTGCCCCGTTACATCCCGATTCACAGAATAATCCTACCCTTATAACCCTATAACCTATCAACCTAATTACAACCTATTAACTTAATAATCCTCTGTGAGTAGAGCCCATTAGGAGAAACTCCTAATATCCAACCTAAACCTCTCCTGGTATAACTTCTGGCCTTTCCTCGGGTCCTTCACGTGGGCGATGTAGTGCCCTGAGTATGCACTCACACCTCGGTGTATGAGAACAGCACTCAGTTCGTATACATAAACACCATTGTTTTGTTCCATAAAAGGCTCCATGTCGAGCAGCTCAGAGAAGCCAATGTAGGTGTTCAGCTTTTTCTTATGGCCAGTTTGTCTGTCAAACATGAAACGCATCAGCTGCAGGTTGAGTGTGCAGGGAAGACTGAGCAGCCTGATCTTCCTTCTGGCATTCTGCTTACTCTGACACGTTTCGCAAAAATAACGATTGTCCCCTTCTAATTTTTCTTCCTTGAGAAACTCTGTTATGCAGTCTGTCAGCGGCTTGTGCCCTTGGATGTTTAACTCCAGCTCGTAAAACTTAGACACGAGTTTGGATTCCCTGCCACACTGGTTGCAGACCGTGACATAGACGTACTCCCCACAAAACTGTTTCTGAACAATGTTTCGAACGTCTGGATTTTTTTGTTTGGATAAAGTATCTTCCAGCAGTGACATGAACAGCTTGGAAAATTCCTGGGCATCCTGCTGTTGGCCTGTATCCAAGCCCAGCGCTTTGACAAACCCAGAGGGATCGATGTATCGCCTTCTGCTGTTCTGCAGCAAGGCAAACAAGTACTGAAGATGCTCACAAATGGTCTGAGGCTCATAGTCTTTGTCTTTGGGAATGCTCTCTCTGACTGTGTGCTCATTGCTGGAACACAAGTAGAGGGCTTGCCGGAGCTCCAGATTAAGAAACCACATCTGCAAGAAAGTGTTCACGTAGCACGTGGCGCCGAGGTTCTTTGAGCCCACAAATGCATTCTTCTTGCGGCGCTCGCAGTTGGGATCATCGATGTTATGGAAGCTGTTCTCGTCAATCTCGCCCAGCCAGACGTGCTCCCCGATGCCCACCAGGCAGTTGGGGTTCCCCCGGCAGTTCCTCCTGCAGGACCAGCACCAGGACCATCCGTCACCCATGGAAGGGACAGAGCCCCTCGTTTGGGAACTCGGGGGGGAAGGTGGGGGCAGCAAGGGGGACTGGCAGCATCCCACACCTCCCCAAAACACAGGGCTGTGAGAGAACTGGGGAAGCCCACCGAGGGAGGATGGAAAGCGAGCGCCAGGGGCATGCTGAGAGCCGGAGGGAGCAAAGGGGGGGGGGGGGGGGTCGGGGTGGGGCAGGGAGTGGTGCGGGCCCCAACGAGCCCAGGCCGCATATCCGGGGACAGACAGGGAGAGGGACCCCCAAGCTCCGGGGATAACGCGGGAAAGCGCTCCGGGGAGCGCGGGGGGCAACGGAGGGAGCTGGGGGAGAACCACAGCCCTGAAGGTCCAGGAGCGGAGGAGCGCCGCTGCCACACAGCCCCTGGGGGGAGGCGGAGAGCGGGGACCGCGGAAGGAGGCGGGGGAAGGAAGCGAGGCCCGGGGCCGGGAGCTCGGGCCGGAGCCGCCCGTACCGGCAGGCGCCGCGCTGGCAGGGCTCCAGCCTGACGCGGTAGGCCGCTTCGACGTGCTCCTGCGTTACTGCCTCGGGCGGCACCGTCTCGGTCCAGCGCCAGGCCGCCTTCTCCAACTGCAGCCGCGGCGCCATCGCCGCCCCCGGCCCGACCCGGCCCCTCCCCTAGGACGCGTAACTTTTCCTTTGAGGTGGCGATTGGCAAGTTCTACAATTGCTTGTCCCTGAGAGTTGCCAGGGATTCCTCTGGAATGAGATATCCGCCAAGCTATTAGCCATTCCTGGGTCGAGTTGAGATGAAGCAAGACCCATTATCTGTTTTCATCTGACTGGGCAACCCCATAGCCGCTGTTGCAGTGGCCCAGTGACTCTGTGCTGCGGTTGAGTTGCACTTTGCACGTTGAGTGACTGATATCATAGAAGAAGCTGTATCTACAGTAACGGCGAGCCATGGACAAGGGGCCAGACGGCGTTCCCATGTAAAATCCATCTGCCAGATCTGCAGTGGCTTTAAGCCACGGGGGTTAACACTTGCACCAATAGTTGGGGCAGAATTGCAATATGGACATGCCTGAACTACATTATGAACTGTCAGCAAGGGAATAGAACAGGCCCGTGCCAAAGCCTTGGCACCTATATGAAGAGATGCATGAAGATCATGCGCAGTTCTGACAGTGAAGCATGCTGTGCCTGCAGTAATTGATGTGATGTTACCGACGCTAAACAATTAAAGCCACATCCTACAGTACTGGTAAAATCATAGACAGAGAGATTAGAGATTACTGATTAGAGTGATTGCTGATAGCTCTAGTGGCACTATCTATGAGTATGAAATTACAAAGGATCCTTATACAAACATAACCAGGTTATTTTCCCAATATATGCCCACTTTGCCTCAGGTACCTGTTGGAATGTACCTCCAAATGACAAACATTTTATTCAGTACCAAGGCAGATGTCTCAAGCCTTGAAAGCATTGCTCTCACAAGCCAGCCGTGTGGAATTGCTTGTTCTCCAGGCCTCAATCTGGCCACCTGTCCCTGAAGGGAACCCATTCTGATGACCACAATGTATACTGCACTGGCTTAAAAACCATGCACATCAGATTCGTTACATCATGAGGAAAGAGAAGACCTGGTGCTGTCAGGACTTGTAATGCATTTAGAGCAAGGAGTGATTTCAATCCCTGTTTCTCTGCACAATCTATCAGGTGTGTGATGTCTTTCAGATCGAGGGGTACCCCTTCTGGGATTCTGTTACCGTTCCCTACTACCAGGAAGATCTCCAGTACTTTTCCTTCCTCTATCAGGCTAGATCTAAACTTCCCGCAATCGGTTAGTGCATCTCTCTTGACTTCTAAATGCAAATTCACCTCTCTCCTTTCGCTATCCTGTTCAGTCACAGCTGGAAGCTGCGGGCTCCGCACCCCTCCCCTCAGACCCATCTCCCTTTGATCATGCACTGACTGTTGTAGAGGCTTCTGATTGGTTGCATACGCACTCAATCTTGTAAAAGGATATGTGGGTCGAATCGGTGGGTCTGAACGCTGTGGTAAGGAGTGGGTCCGGAGACTCTCGTCATTTTGTCTTTCTCCTACGGGTGCAACCTGAGCACACAGCGCTGGCCACACGCCACCTACTCCTTCAGGCGCGATCAGGGTGGACAGTGCTGGCCGGACATTACCATCCGAGCGCCTGTAAGTTACATCGCTTCCCTTTCTCTCTGCTGTTTTTTCTTCTACCGCCTCTCTAACTTTTGACCAATCCGTACCCGAGCCTTGCCCGCAGTCCCCGCAGTCCCCACCCCCCTGGGTGTAACTGCATTCCACCTCCTCAGAGGAGACGGCAAGTGTCCCATCCCGGCTCACTTGTCCCCCTTCACCCACAGGTGGTATTAGATTACACAGAGAAGGATACAGCGGTTGTCGTGGATACGGCTGGGGAGTTTCAGCGACCTTGGATTCCTGCACTTGGCCGGTGTTGCATGATAAAAGTGCAGACAGTTCAGCGCAGTCTTCTTCTGCTTGTTTATGCGAAGCTGAAGCCGAGGGGGGAGCGAAGGGGGGTGCCGAAGGTGCGGACGAGATGTTAGTCGCCATAGTTGAGGGCATATTTGCGGCGTTCTCTTCCTCAGGGGACCTGCAAGAAAGTACGCTTCCCGCGTCACTTCTCTCGGCATTAGGAAATTCCAAACCCATCATAAGGCGCGCAGCCTCAGGAATTCTATCTTCTTCTCTAGCGGCTTTAAGAATTAACCCCCAGATTTTTAGCTCCGCTGCTTTTTGCTCCTCTATCGCACGCTGCGCAAGCGTGGATGTAAACTGATCCCATTTATCAGGGTCTAAAATGTCCTGAGGGGAGGGAAGATTCCACTCCTTTTCCAGGCAAATAAGTACAGCGGAAACGTCCTTCTTAGAAGGGGCATTCTTGCTGTGATAGTCCTTACAGAACTGAAGGACCAACTTAATAACTTGATCCATCACCAGCGTGGCACTGATGTCCCGATTCGAGAGCGATCTGCCACCAACCACAGGCCATCCCCAGCCTCGAACTTCCCCAGCAGCCAGCTGCTGCAGGCACGCCCTAAGGCGAATACCGCAACACCACGGTCTTCCACGGCCAACCCGTCATCACCTCATTACGGCATTGGAAATTCCGCAGGCTCGCAGGAGACTTTAACGCAAGTTGGCTTCTCATGCAAGGGGGATCCTCACAAGTGGGTTCCGCACTGGATCCTCACACGGAGCACCAATGTTGCATTGCCTCCTACGGTACTGACCTAAAACCAGGCCAGGACCAAATGACTGCACGCACACACCAATATGATGAACAGCAAAATGGCGTTTATTACATGTGAACTCTAGCTTATGTAACCTATGTGCTTCGTCTACGCCCCTAAGGGCACGTGCCACACATCAATCAGAGAGCAGGGAGAGGGCCTATCGCGTCACATCCCGTGGGGGGGTCTCGCAGTTGCTGACAACATGCTGTGCACCCTCTGTGGGATGCAGCTGCTTTGCCCAGGCTCCGTATTTTTGCAGGCTTCCCAGCCTGCTGTGGTCAGGCAGGCTTGTGGCTGTAAGGAATGCACAGGGCCCACAGCTCCCCTCTGGGGAGGATTTAGAGATATTAAAAAAAGAGAGAGAGAAAGAGAGACAGAGAAAGACAACAAAACCCTTTCTCCTCCTCTGCTTATGTCTCAGTGCAGCTCTGTAGCTTGGCAAGCGCAGGTGCTGGAGTATTGCACAAAGGCCTGCAGTGAGCAAGGGGAGGGCAGCTGGGATGATTTCATCTTTTCCTTTATAGTGTCTAAAAGTCTGCAGCAAAGCAGCACGTTTCCTCTTGCTCCCTCTCCTCCTTATCCCCCCCTCCTGCCAGAGAGGCACCACTTGGGGGGAAAGGCCAAAGAACACATTGCTGTGCAGCTGTGCTGCGGTTATTCCACACTCACAAGAAACGAAGGAATGTCTGGCAAAGTGGAACCATCTGGCTATGGCTGTTCAGTGCAGGAGACAAAGGAGAAAGAGGAACACCACGGAGAAGGGCTGGGTGGAGAACATGACCTTGGTCACAGCAGCCGACTTCGGGAAGAGACGCTCTCAGGTGTAGCAGCCATTTGAGGCGAGAAAGGTGGAAAAAGCTGAGACAAAAAACAGTCGCAGTGTGAAAACCAAACACTTGCATTGCTCTGTGGATAGTTTAAGTGCCTCTTAGTAGTGCTCGTGGTGTGGCTAATGGGTGCTGGTGCCCAAATGAAGGCCTGAGTGCCTTCCCTCTGTCACACTGCTGCCGGCGGGGGGCTGGGGTAGGAAACATAGCTGAGGAACCAACTGGATGAGAGGAATGGCTTTGTGACACACTGTAAGGCGCTGGGGAGATGCTGCGTCCTGGCAGTTGTGCACAGAGCTGTGAGGTAGGTGGGAACGGAGGCACCCTGAACTCCAGTGAAGGGAAAGCAGAAAGGCCGGGGGAAAACAAACCAACAAACAAACAAAACAAGCAGAGAAGAAAAAAAAAAAAAAAAAAAAAAAGCCGGGAAAGGGCAACCAGAAGGTGCACGAGAAAGAAAAAAAGGGCTGAGGGGGTGAGGCCGCGGGACGAGCGCGAGGCCCTTCAGCACCCTCAGGAGGCCGTGGCGGGAAACGCCTCAACGCAACGTTGGGCGGGAAGGCATCGCGCACGCGCACATCTACGGCGGAGGGATGGAAAGGGGGAGAGCGCCCGGCGTTCGAAAAATGCCCGCGGCTCCTCATTGGCTGGCGGCTCCGGTAGGCCCCGCCCACCGCCCACCGCGGCCCCGCCCCCTCCGCCCCGCCCCCTCCCCTTTGCCCCTGCCCCCCCCCGCCCCTCCCCCGCCGGTTCCCCCGCCGCCGCCATTAGAGGGCCGCTTTGTGTCCGCCGGGCCCGCTGGTGAGTGAGGGCCGACCCCGCCCGGCGCCGCACGGCGGGAGGGGGGGCGGCCCACTCGGCCGCGGGGCGCGGAGGCGGCCCGCCGGAACCGCCCTCGGCTCCGCGCCGTGTCGCGATAGGCCTCGCGGCGGGGGGGTGTCGTGGCGCGGCCCGGCGTCCGCGCAGGCCTCGGCTGGGCCCCGGGCGCCGCCCGTTCGCTTTCCCCGCCGTTCCGTTTGTTTTCCTTCGCTCAGTCGCCGCCCGAAGGGAGCCGCTGGTCCCGGCGCCGCTGCGGGCCGTGCTTTGCCCTCGGCAGGCCGAGCTTGGTGTCCCTGACCGGAGCGCGGCCGGTGCGGGGCGAGGCGGCTCCCCTGGCTCCCCTGGCTCCCCTCGCTGCTTCCCCGCGGCCCTCCGCCAGCCCTCTACGCCCGTTTTGCGGCCGTTCCCGCAGTCGCGGTGCGTGCTGGAGGACGGGGCTGGTTGGCGCCGGGTGCATTCGCTCCGTTTGCGGGCTGACAGCTGGGTCTGCCCGGTATTTCGGCAGTCCCTGTCGGCCGCCGAGGGATCTCTGAGTTAATGAGCCCTTATCGGGTCTTGGCCGCTCGCTGGTCGTTCGGGCGCGTGGTTTCTTTTGTTTGTTTTTACTGTAAATAGTACTTTTAGCGTCTTTAAAGAACGCTTGGCTAGCAGCGGTTCTGATGGAGCTTCGGAGCTTCGGAAGTTCTGTTGTTAAACCGTGTGTGCAGGAAGTGAGAGCAGGGGGAACTGCTGCTCTTCCCTCAGCTTGTACTGCTGGAGTTATTTTTCTCTCCAGTATACATATGTATACGTTTATGTATGAAGTTATATTAAGTTCTTTATGGAGAGGGTGGTGAGGTGCTGGAACAGCTGCCCAGAGAGGCTGTGGATGCCCCGTCCATCCCTGGAGGCATTCAAGGCCAGGTTGGATGGGGCCCTGTGCAGCCTGGTCTGCTGGTTGGTGACCTGCACATAGCAGGGGTTTGAAACTGGATGATCATTGTGGTCCTTTTCAACCCAGGCTTTTCTGTGATTCTATTTTGACTTCCTTTGGAGGGAACATGAGGGGTTTTACACTGGTGGGCTCTAATATGAGATGTGAGTAGATTTTATGGAGCACGAGGAATTTGTAGCTTTCCTCAGGTTGTGCTGATGCCATGTAATGAGAGGTAGCTGAATAAGTCGTAGCTCGGGAGGGTTTGTATGGTGGTGTTAAATGTAGACTGTGTAAGCGTGGAGGATGTTGCCTGTAAAAGGTTTTTATCCTGGTGTGTAATTTTACAGCCTGAACTTTCTTTTGGTTGTCAATGGTTTGTCAACACTCACAATGTTGGATCCTGGAATTAAGAAGTTTTGTCATCTTAG